GCAGTTGTTTGTATCGCTGTTTGGTACCACCTTGGAACGCAAAAGCCGAGATACATAGCGAATTTCACAGAGGGGAGCTTGTGATTCTTTGAGACATTTCAGGCAAGACTTGAGTGAACTTTTTGTCTTGTGTTTGTATTTTTCAATTAAATTTGTATTAATCACGTCGTCTGATACTCCATAATTGATCTGAAAATAATCATAGATGACTGAGTTCATTGTTTTGATGGAAACGTTGACGTTAGATGGGTTGATTTCTGTTAAAGGCAATGTTGCAGCGAAGTAGGTGTTGGCAGTTTTCCATTGTTCATCGTTTTTTGGTAGCTTAATTCCGGGTTTAATTTCAGGCACATTCGAATAATCAAATCGATCCAACTGTTCAGCTGCGTTCGATCCACCATCATAGCTATTATCAATTTCGCTTTGAACGGTTTCAAACGTTTCACCCTCAAGGCCTTTGATCGCTCTGCAGCTGCGCTGGTGCATTTTCAAACCTCGAAGACCGTTACAAACTTTTCCACAACAACATTGAACATGTGAGCAATTACTTGTTGTCGAATGGGTCTCGGAAACGGGTAGAAACACTTCGCTTATTGAATTTATGTTTTTCCTGTTTGAATCTCTAATAATAATAATAATGGAAACTTTTCATTTTCAATTCAATTAAAACTACAATTACAAATTTCACTATTACAAAGGTAATTTGCAATTGGCTAGCCTGGGTTTACAAAGAAAAAGACTATTACAAGCACAAACAAAAGAAATTAACAAAAAAAAAAGGAAAAAGTATGTTCGTCATTGTTTGTTTTAGAAGTCGTCAGTAGCAGAGATCGTTAGAACTGAAGAAGTTCAGGATTATTCCAAGATTTATTTCTGCGGCAGAAAATGTAATAGGTAGTACGGATAGTTAAGTTGGATAGTTTGGAGATCATGAAGCGGAGATGATTCTCGCTGATATCTAGAGCGTTGCACATGTCGATGAAAGAGGAGCAAGAGAGACCAAAGATACCTAGGGAACTGATAGAAAGATTAACAAACATGATAGAGGAATAGGCTGAGCTTAGGCTGTGAATGAGATTCGAGTATTTCTCTCTTTTGCGGTTAGCATTAACATCCAAGTTAGTTTCATATCCTACTGTAAGCTCGAGTATGAATAGTCGATGGTCAGAAGTGACTAGAAGTAGATCAGGACGGAAAGAGTCTCCTGTTATGATAGAGGGTGAGAGATAACCTGAAAGGTCTGCGTAAAGAGAGCAATTAGGTATAGCTTTTAAAGATTGTGCTAGGAAGTTCAATGCAGAGTTATGGCGCCATGTGTAACGGCCTTCTTCGAGGTATGTTTTGCAGCCTGCAACAATGTGAAGTAACGTTTCTGGCATATGGCAAAAAGAGCAATCGGACGACTGAGTAATGTTCCATTTAGATAGGTTTTTCGCGTGGCAAGGGAGTTGCTAAGATATTTGATAGTAAAACTGTAAATGTTCTTGGGCATGTTGCTTTGAACCGTGGTCCATATTTTAGAGGCTATAGGAAGAGAGTGGTCAAAGATGAAGGAAAGAACGGTACCTTGAGATACAAGATGGTTTTGAAGGCGCTCTTTATGTTCTGATCTAACAGCCTTCAATACTTCTCTAGTATTCCTGTAAACATCATATTGGATGTTCTTGCTCTGGCTGGTATTTTTCCACAAAGATTGGATGTTTTTGTTGGGAGAGGATTTCAGTGCATTACGACAAACAGTTTGACACTGCATGAATTTAACAGAAGGAAGAATCAAGTTAAGACCGAACTGGTTTTTTGACAGAATAATGCCACTTAAAGTAGCAATTATGGGTAAATCGAGCCAACGGCGGATAAATGCAGAAACTTGATTATCAAGGTTTTCGACGATCCAGGTTTTTGATAGATCGGCTACTGTGAGGTGCCACGAAACTTGTGAGAGAAGATAGCTGTTATAAAGAAGCAGCTTATTCTTTGGATGGAGAGGTAAAGAATCAATTTGCGTTAGGAGTTCTGTGAAGATGGAGCTGAGCTTAGACATATGTTCTTGGTTGCTCATATTAAAGTCGAAGTGACGCCCAAGATACTTAAAAGACTCTCCAGTTATGACAGGAGGGACCATTTCATTATTGATGAAGAGCTTTGGCTGATATTGTAGGGAGCGTGTTGAGAATTTTTTAATACCAAAGGTTGTGCATTTGTCTACTCTTATAATCATGTTAGACCATTGACACCATCTTGTAAAGCAGTTTAAGAGTAGCTGGTTTTCATTCTCCCTATTTGTAATGACTGCAGCATCGTCTGCAAACTGAAACCAGTGCTCTGGGGTAAACATACAGTCTGGTTGGCTATGGGGAGAGAAACCAAGTTGTTTGAATTTTTCTGCCTTTATGTATTGAATGAAAGTGTTAAAGCACATGTTAAATAGAAGGGGACTTAGGCAATCACCTTGAAGAACTCCACGTTTAACAGGAATAGCAGGGGTAACAAATTTATCTGTGATAATAGAGGTTTTAAAATTTATGTAGAGACTAGAAATCAGGGACTGGATGTTTTCTGGTACGTGGTGATAAGACAGAACAGATTTGATTAGATTGTGATGAACCTCTCCGAAGGCATTTTTTAGATCCAATAATGTTATGACTAGAGACCGTTGTTTTATTCGAGCTTTGTCTATTATATGGCTCATCATCGCAGTATGTTCTAGTGTACCCGATATCTGATGGGTAAAACCTTTTTGAATCTGATGTTCTATGAAACTATTTTGTTTGAGAAAATCAAATACAGAATCTCGGAGGCAAGATGTGAAGATTTTTAGTGGGACCGATTGGAGAGTGATAGGTCTGAAGTTTGAGGGATCCTCTGTATCTCCTTAATAATAATAATAATAATGGAAACTTTTCATTTTCAATTCAATTAAAACTACAATTACAAATTTCACTATTACAAAGGTAATTTGCAATTGGCTAGCCTGGGTTTACAAAGAAAAAGACTATTACAAGCACAAACAAAAGAAATTAACAGAAAAAAAGGAAAAAGTGTGTTCGTCATTGTTTGTTTTAGAAGTCGTCAGTAGCCGAGATCGTTAGAATTGAAGAAGTTCAGGATTATTCCAAGATTTATTTCTGCGGCAGAAAATGTAATAGGTAGTACGGATAGTTAAGTTGGATAGTTTGGAGATCATGAAGCGGAGATGATTCTCGCTGATATCTAGAGCGTTGCACATGTCGAAGAAATAGGAGCAAGAGAGACCAAAGATACCTAGGGAACTGATAGAAAGATTAACAAACATGATAGAAGAATAGGCTGAGATTAGGCTGTGAATGAGATTCGAGTATTTCTCTCTTTTGCGGTTAGCATTAAGATCCAAGTTAGTTTCGTATCCTACTGTAAGCTCGAGTATGAATAGTCGATGGTCAGAAGTGACTAGAAGTAGATCAGGACGGAAAGAGTCTCTTGTTATGATGGTGAGAGATAACCTGAAAGGTCTGCGTAAAGAGAGCAATTAGGTATAGCTTTTAAAGATTGTGCTAGGAAGTTCAATGCAGAGTTATGGCGCCATGTGTAACGGCCTTCTTCGAGGTATGTTTTGCAGCCTGCAACAATGTGAAGTAACGTTTCTGGCATATGGCAAAAAGAGCAATCGGACGACTGAGTAATGTTCCATTTAGATAGGTTTTTCGCGTGGCAAGGGAGTTGCTAAGATATTTGATAGTAAAACTGTAAATGTTCTTGGGCATGTTGCTTTGAACCGTGGTCCATATTTTAGAGGCTATAGGAAGAGAGTGGTCAAAGATGAAGGAAAGAACGGTACCTTGAGATACAAGATGGTTTTGAAGGCGCTCTTTATGTTCTGATCTAACAGCCTTCAATACTTCTCTAGTATTCCTGTAAACATCATATTGGATGTTCATGCTCTGGCTGGTATTTTTCCACAAAGATTGGATGTTTTTGTTGGGAGAGGATTTCAGTGCATTACGACAAACAGTTTGACACTGCATGAATTAAACAGAAGGAAGAATCAAGTTAAGACCGAACTGGTTTTTTGACAGAATAATGCCACTGAAAGTAGCACTTATGGGTAAATCGAGCCAACGGCGGATAAATGCAGAAACTTGATTATCAAGGTTTTCGACGATCCAGGTTTTTGATAGATCGGCTACTGTGAGGTGCCACGAAACTTGTGAGAGAAGATAGCTGTTATAAAGAAGCAGCTTATTCTTTGGATGGAGAGGTAAAGAATCAATTATAATAATAATAATAATAATAATTTTATAATTTAAATATATAAATATAATTTTAAAATAATTATATTTCTACATTTGCAAGCATTTCATTAGAAATTTTGACGTGCATACTAAAATAAAAAAACATTCAACAAGGAACAAAAATTCGACATTCAGCTGCATGCGACAAAAATTTGGGGGCGAATTCTGCATCCTGCGAGTAAATATGACGGAGTTTTGGTTTACCTTGTTCTATTGTATAAGCAGATTATTATGAATAAATGAACGCTAACCCAATAACAACAAATAGTTAACAAGACAACAGAATTTAGAGAAAATAAGCAATGTTTACTCCTTCATACACAACTGAAACCACATTTTACATGCCATGATTGCATCTAAATCTTCAAAATTTGCCAAAAATGTAGATGTCATCGGAAAAGATATATTTAATAACTACTGATCATGGGTTTTAACAGTTTTGCATCAAATTTTTGCATCCACAAATGACGAAAACCCAACGCAAATACGTCAATTTCCATAACCATTTCATATCATGCCCTCAATAACATACCGTCTGTTCTCAAGAATGAATTTTTGAAAATCTGCAAAATTTAAAATATTACGTCATTATGACGTCACAAAATCGTCCTCATTCAAAACCAACTAACCAGTGTAGCACGTAAGGTTGTTTCCAAAATGAGCCATGGCTCACTGACACGTCGGTATCTACATAGAACTGGATAAATTAATGTTAAATTAGGTCATACGTACTGGGTAAGATAATCAGTGATCGCTGCCTTTGGCTTCACAAATGTGTCATACAAAACTTCACAGTCTTCATTCACAACAGACACCCTTGTCAACTCATGCCCACCTGCGCTCAAGCACTACAAAAATCGTTTGTCATGTTTTGAGTTAAAGCAACTGCATTCTAGTGTATTCATACTGTAAAACGTTTTAGGACAAGAAACTGTCATAACTTTAGAAAAAAGTATACAGAATATATTATTCTAGATAAAATTTTGTTGACAAAGATTTTGCAAGTTTACTAGGGATGTATGAGAGCATGTACAAGAAACATAAATTATACAATTTAATCTGAACCAACAATCAATGGAGGGGAGGGGGGTGTAATTCGATTCATATATACGTCAGTTTTCTAAAAAAAATAACAGATGTATAATACTGCTGCTTTGCGGCAATAAAATCTCAAGAAGCACATTTGTAACAGTTACACTCTTTGTTGTCGAGAAATTTTTAAATCGTTTCAAACAACATCAGTTAGATAATGCTTTTATAGATCACTTGGGTAAATTCAACCTGCGATGAAATTTTTCACATGATGATTAGACTGGGAACGAGTAAGACTAGTAAAAATGATAGAACAAGGTGGGGACTTAAATTTGTCTTAAAGGATTTTCGACTTAAAGGAACCACCTTAAACAATTCATATTGACTTACCATCTCGCAATCAATTGCGAATACTCTACCATCGACGGACATTAGCTCGTCATCATCATCATCATCTCTCAAACCAAACGCATAGCCCATGCTTGTGTAGTCTTTGTTTGCATTCCTAGTTGAAACATAGCCTATGAAAAACAAATTTACATCCGTTACTGGTCTAAAGTACAAACCCGCTGCGGAACCCAAAGTCCTGTAATTTGCTAGTTCGACACACAACCCCTCCCTATTTCCCATACAACTCGTTGATATCTAATAAATAATACCTTTCACCGTAAAGGCAGTGAATTTTCTTCAGTCAAATGGCTGCCAAAACAATTACTTCTTTAATCATTTGAGTATCTCTTTTCTTCATTTAATATCAAAATGTGTCAATCAACACTTTGATTGTTGAAAGCAATGTTTTTAATTTCATACCATAGTATCTCCTGGGGAAAAGCATAATTTTTACAGAAAACTTGTATATTCAATTTACATGCAATAATTAAAATTTTCTGTAGAACAGACCTTCTCTCTCTTCTACAGACATTTCATGAGCAACAGGATATTCATTAACCATCAGTTGTCCTGGTGTCAAGATAAGATCTTGAGGCCGCAGCGTCTTCACGTCATCTTCAATAAACATATTGTTTTAAGAAAAGTACTTAATAGAAAATAAAAAAAGCATGAAACCACAATAATATTCAAATAAGCCGTTGATACCACCAAATATGAAGTAGTCTGGTATTCCTAAGAGTACGCCGTGTTTCCGTTTATCGGTGCCGTCTTCAAACCTTTATATTCTGATACAAAATCTGCATGATTGCATGAAATATCAAATTTCATGAATAAGTATGTTTTAGACTGACAATCCTATGAAACGGAGACTGGTGATAGAAAGTTAAAATCTTGGTGTTTTGAAATCCTTCTAGATAACAAGAATAAATCTAGATATCGATATATAGAAGAAAACCCTTTCTTCTGTGAAACTAGTAAATATTTGTAGGGAGTAGCATTAGTAAAACAGAAAACACCTGAACTTAAAGTAATAAAAATTATAGTCAGACTATTCCAATGAGTGTCGACTTACACTCTTTTTTTTATAAGAAAAATTTAAGTTTAAGTTCAGGCTGACTGCTTTTAATTTCTTCGAAAATCTGAGGCTGGATTGTTCTCAATTTGTTCTTAATCTAATAGGGTGTAAACAGTGCGAGCCCTTTCGCTCTAGGATGGTGTTCAGGCCTCATTTGCCAACAAAGTGAGTGAGACAGCCTTACTTTGCTGACAAATTTTGATATTCACTGAAAAAACACCCACACATCGCTAAAAATCCTCGATTTTGAGAAAAAACGTTGTTCAAGATTGCATTTAGCAGAAGTTCAGCCTCAGCTTGTTCTGAATTTGTTCTTGTCTTAACTTTTGAACAATTTTGAGGCTCGTGTTCTTATAAAATCGTTCTTATAAAAAAAGAGTGAAAACAGACTGTTTCCAATCAAAAATTTCGTTTCTCTCCATCTGGACCCCCAAGTCTTCACCTGGGTGGCAATTTCTGTTCAACTCATTGTCATTATATACCGACTTTCGAGAAAAAGGTGAGGAACATCACAAAAACGTCCGTCGAAAAGAATTTCTATACGTGCAAAATATAACGCGTCATGAGGTAATTTTGTGAATTTCTTAGCGATATGTTTCAATTTTGATTGGTAACTTCTAAAAAGTGATTAACATCGCCTCTATTTTGCATGGACGAAAATTGAAAACAAAAGGCTTAAGCTGACACGTTTTCACATTTTGATTCCATAAAATCACATTTTGAAGTGCCAAAGAAATAACAATTTAAAATTTAATCAGGTGGCAAAATATAAGCCACGCGGTGTTGATTATTGCACGCATAGAAAGCCTGCTGTAGCGTGTTTGCGTATTATCGCTCATTCTCTCCTTTAAAGCCTACGTTTAATGATCAGAAGTTGACCAGAAGTTGAACACAAAGTCCTTTATATTAGCCTAAAATACTTTTCAAAATATTAACCGTTTATATGTTACTATTTTAAAGCATACTTTTGTTATGTTGGATTAATTTGATGCTTAAAATGGATTTCTTGTTTTATTGGGCCTCCTGGAACCCAAGGCCCATGAGCAACTTGTCCCTCCTGTCCTGCTCCCCCTTGGTGGCCCTGACATTGGCAATCAAATGATGGCTAAAATGTTTGAAATTATGCCTATGGTTTTATGCCTAACAATAAAAACAATGTAAGTATACCAATATTAATTCACATCTACATTCAACTCTGCCTATGATATCTGGAGGGTTCATGAAAATGTTTACATTTAAAATTCTGCACGCAGGCTAATTGGAATAATATGTCAGTAAATTTTTAAAAATGTATAAATAAAAAATTTTTTTCTTCAACAGAAAATTTTAAAAAAATCCTGGATTTTGCCTTTGTTATCACCAAACTTTGTTTTATGGCCTTTATTCATGCAGTTGCAACTTGTACAGCAGTCGTAAATAAAGAAAACCATTTCTGTCAAATAATTTGGCCTTAAGAATTCAACACAAAAATTGGTGATGCCCTAACTCTTTCAGAGCTCGGCATGTGACAGGCCAAGACTTCGCAAACCTAGTAGTTTTAACTCTCCATTAAATTTTGAAGCAAAAAACTTGAATAACAGCCATCAGTTAAGAATATGCATTTCACAGAATTTAAAGAAATTAGATAATTATATCAGCAGCTTATAATATCAGTTGGTAAGAGATTTTAAAGTGACCTTTTAAAAATTTTCTCTACTGGCAAATGCATATCCTTAAAGACAAAACAATTATGGACATCTTGCAAGTTAAAAATATGTAAGAACATGAAAATCTTCAAATATATACAAAGAACAGATAGTTGCCAGAAACAGAACAATAATGTAAAGCAAAAAAGACTTACGGCTTTTGCCTTTCTTTTTTGCAGATTTCTTCTTCATCTTGTAAAAAAGAAAAGACTCTAACGGAGAAAGAAAGAACCCATCTGATCCATCATTTTTAACAGTATAGCCCTGAAATTTAAAACACAACACATTATGGCAATCCTCTTGAGCAGATAATCATAACACTGCAACTTCTACTTATAAGCAGAATGAGCTATTACTGTAAGATAAATTATTCTGTATTGGTCAATTTTATTTGCTTTAGATCAATTGTGCCAATTACCCTTAAATAGCTCATAATCAGATGGTGTCAATTAGTAGGATGTGCTCATAAAATCTTTTTAAACAGTGTTTCAGTAATTCTGCATGCTTTGGCAAAGTTTGTAGAAAAATTGGTCAACAGATTAAGCACTTAGATGGACAATAGACTTTGAAGGGCGATAAAATGCAAGTAAAATGCGATAAAAAGCCAAGGAAATTGTGCATCTCCATTGAGCATAAAGAAGCTAAGTGTACTTTATCAAAGGGTGATGACTCAATGTTTTCCCTTGAAATCCTCTTATTCTGATAGGGTTTAAAATTGCGCAAGCCCTACATACAGGCTTACTTGAAAGTGCTTTGAAAAGTTCCTTGAAAGATAAAAAGAACTATCTTTTCTAAAAGACTTGTGCAAGAAGAAAGTGGAAAATCCTTCTACCTGAAATCTACACTGCCAACAGTTTTTGCTATTAAATCTATTTATTGCTAGCTGAACTTCATATCATTTAACTACAGAAATTCGCAGCGCTCTATAGAAACTCACATTACATAACAGAGTCCTTAATATCTGAAGAGGTTCCACCATTCCTTTTTGCTGACAATCAAGGTTTCTAACAGCTATAGTTGCAAATAATTCGTTTATGTTAATATGATGCATACAGCTCATACTTTAATTAATATTTAACAATAATGTTTGGGCAAAAACGCTTGGTATGTAAAAACGCAAAGTTTTAATTCTTCCCAAAGCAAGAATACAACCACTAATAAAACTTTAGTGTATGTCAGCCAAGTTTTTGGTGAGAATGCAACTTACTGTATTAAACTTTGATGTAATATGTTGAAACGTATCAGTGAACTCCAAAAAATCTTTGCCAGAAAGATAATTAACCATTAGAAAAAGTGTATGCTCTATCTTTTTGGAGGAAAATAAGTTGCACCATGTTGGCTTCTCCCATCTCCCACTTCCAAGAACTGAGAACATTATTAGGTCCTTGATGTCTTTGCTATGTAGATACTGTCCTCCTGGCCTTGCCCCATTTTCACTAAATAGCTGCTCCAAGTCTATATCAATTCTGGGCACACCATTCTAAAAAAATAAGATATTGATAGTACCTAATGTCAAGCCATGCCAAAATGAAGGGTTAGAACCCTGATCATATCAACTGAAAAAGTTATTTAATAGACAAAAAAGCGTATGTGTACAATTCATTACTTAAGTTTTCAAAGAGACCCTTAGCTTCAAGTAGCCTTAAAAATATTCAAACAAAGGTCTTGGAATGTGAAACTGTTTAATTCACTTCTGTTTATAGCCACGCCCTACTTACAGACATAATTTTTGAAGCAACATTTAGTGTTGCTATAAGTAGGGTCTACAGTAACAAAATATGAATTTAAAAGCAAATATTCTGGATCTATCAACTAAACTACTTCGATTGCAGCCATCTATTCCAGCAATTAAAATTGGTAGTACATATAAAATTGGTAAAACTTCCTGGTCTTCAAATAAAGAATGATGGGAGAAACAGCTGACCCGATATTGAGCACCTCTCATATTTGACTCTATGGTAAAAACTAGATTGAAATATCTGCATTCTTGCAAAATGTGCTTTCTTCTGAAATGACCTTAAAATATCTGATACTGTGGATTCGATTTTGTCATACCTCCATCTTCTTTTTTGAAGATATTTTTTTATCTGCTTCCTCTGTATTGCAAGTTGACACTTCTCCCTCAGGTGATCTTAGTTCTACCACTTTATCATTTTTGGCCTTTTTGCTTCTCTTTTTCTTGGACCTTTTCCTTGTCATCCCATCTGACAAAATATCTGACTCTAAACTTTGAACTTTATTAAATGTCCTCTTATTGTTTTCCTAGAAATAAAAAACCAATGAGTCAACTAAACAATAGATAGCAACATTTTGTTCTATGTTCAAATTTATCAAAAAAGGAGACAATGGAAAAAGAAAGTTTATAATGGTGCATGGGGAACCAGGTGCATGGGGAGGGCAGATGCTCCCAAGTTTCAGAAGCAGAGGTAAACTACCTTTTGCAGCTCATGGAATTTGTGAGAATAATTTGTCTACATGTGTCCTCCAGTTTTTGAAATGATTCCTTCTTTTACAGTAAAAAAAAAGATGAATAAATTTCACATAAACACATCCTTCATCGGTAGAATGACAAAGTTACTGCACAGTGTATATATCTAGGACACTAAAAAGAAATAAAATTTGAAAGCGAGAAAAGCTTCGCATGCATAATTTGCATCTGAACTGCAAGATACCATGTCCCCCACTATATTCCTCTCGATAAACTTACTGGTTTAGTTAGGTTGCTACTCGTTTGCATCAGAGACTTCTCCATTTCCTGCAGGTTTTTTTATTCTTGAGGTTGCTTACCACTTTAGTCCATTAAAGGGACAAAATCCAACTGAAAAATTGAAATCAACAGAGTTCAATCACGTTAAAACATGTACAATACCTAAAACAGACAATGTCCCAAACTTAGCTCCTCATTTTTCTGCGCCTGGTAAAGTTCTCTCGACAGATTCAAACATCGTTGTTATTTAAGCCAAAAATATAATAGGTACGGTAGCAAAATACCAATTTCAGAATGGAAACTTTCGAAACTTGCAAACACACTTCCCCGGCTATGGGCTTTGCAAACCATTTCTTAGAAAGCATTGTTGTGTGGATGTCTTCTTGGAAACGACTTTGGACTTCGACCTTGGCAGGCAGGTAGAAGGTGAATAAGCAGCAAAACCAAATATTGACCGTAGGAACATTCTAACATTTATGAAAAATAAAATGCAATTACCTTTTGTTGCTTTTTTAAAAAAAACTCATGTTTCCAACAGCCATAAGTTAGTCCCCGCGTTCTGGTAACCTCGATATGAATTTGGGAATCGGAAAACGTCTCCGGCCACGGGAGGGGGGGGGCGGTGGTGCTAGGGGGCTTGAGCAATTATTCGTAGACCCTACCATCTGTGTCATGCAGCGTCACTTACTTCAGTGCCATCGTTTGCGAATATTCATAAAATATATCTTACCATTTAATCGGTACTCCTTTGGAATTCAGCGAGCAATCAAATGAGAAGGAGTGGGTATAGAAATGAAAATGATACAAACAGTCGAAATGAGCACAGTTTCTTTGAGCACAAAAACAAATTTAAAATAATTTTAAAAAAGTTCAATCATCGTCACTTTCTTCTTCGTCGGAGCTTCCTTTAGTTTCCTCATCTTTCTCTGCAGTGGCGGTCAGGCCATTTTCGCTTTGAGGGGCCAGCAGCAAAATGGCGCCCTGCAGAACTAGCATTATTGTATTTTCCTGAAAAGATTGGCAATTTGGTAAATTATATTTTTAACCTTGTATGTCAAGGAGTGACTGACCCCACGTGAGCACAGGGCTCCAAATATGATAATTTTTCATGGGGGTGTCAGGACAAGTTGGACCGACTCACGTACGAAATACAATCAAAGCTGATAAACTATATAAAAATGTGTCAAGAACATGTTTGGGGAAATTTCCAGAGTTACCCCTACAATGTGGTAAAATGAGGGTTTTGTTCTCTTTTTAACTGTTGTGTTCATTTGGCACCTTGGAGGGGAATCCAAAGTGCCAGATAAAATAGTTACCTTTGTTTTGCTTGTACTTTGGGGGCAACTAAACAAGCTCAAAACATACATATAACGCAATTTACAATCAGGGGGCAAATTAGGTGGGTGTTGGGGTAACAAATAACGGAAAGAGTCAGTCCTAGCCAATAAGTAGAGGATTCCAGTTACTCATTAGGCTAGAAAATGCGATTTCTAACATATCTTTGAATTCATTATGACCAGGCACCACGCAGCTATTGGGCTAGCAAGGGCTATAGCCCACCCAATTTTTGCAATAATAGGCTAGAAAATTTTTTTGAAGGTTTACTCTAACGCAACTTGGGATAGTTTACCCCTATGTAATAGCAGTTCTCATTGACTGGGAACACTTTTTGTTCTTTTTCTAGGTGGTTCATCTTGTTTAATGATATGATGTATTTTCTAACTTGGTTAGCTTGGTTTTTTATTACCCTCGAGCTAATTCTATCTATTTTTATTTTTATTGAAATCTTATCTGAGCCAGACTGTTTGTAAAAATTCAATAGAAGTAAGCAAGTATTTTCTAAGGGGCGTTTTCCGGCGTTTAAGGGGCGTTTTCCGGTGTTTAAGAGGGCGTGGCCTAAATTTTCGGTCACACCCATTTCAGCCCCTCACCTTTCAGAGTGGTGCGTCATTTGACGAAAAATGAAGTAAACATTTCATCGAATTTTGAAGAAATATTATTAAAGACCAAACAAAACACAACCGCTAAGAAAATAAGGCCCGACCCAACTTTCTTGTCAAAATCAATGTATGGCCCCTGAAAAAGAAACCTGAAATACCTACTCGTTAGAAACATCAGCCCTTGCCCCTTGGTCGTTCTGCCATTTCCTTCGTGTCAGCCATTTTATTTCGATTTTCTGTAGGCATCTTTAACATTGGTCATCTTTATAAGGAATTATTTTACAGGTTTTGAGAAAAGTCGTCATGAATTTGGCACTACAGCCAGAATTTAATATAAATCTATCTGATCATTAGAAATGCCTTGTTCTAAGGGCACTTAAATGAAAAGAGCATTCTGGCCCCCATGCCTATCCTATCAAAAGGCAACAGGGGCTGTTGACCCTCTGCGCCCCCTTCCCCGGCGTCCCTGAGAAACATGAAGTCGATGTTTTGAGTTAAAAGTAATCTGTTTGATCTATCCTTTCTGACGAAACAAAATAAGTTTCATTATGTTTTAGCTTTGAATGCACTTTTTAGCGCTATTTCTTGTTATCTTGTGCATGAGATATAACATATGGACTAATCTAGGATGAAGCAATTACACAACCGAATTTTCTGCTAATAAGGTCTCTGAAGGTCAGCAGGGCAAAAGAGACTCATTGAAATTCAAAATTTTCCCTTGAAGGGAAAGGGGCATGAGTCCGGATACCCTAAACACAGACTGTCTTCGGAGTATGTCTGTGTGCCCCATGAGTGTTCTGCCCTCCACGCAAAAGAATTTAACAGTAAGTTTCCTGACACCACAGTACTAAAGGGGCACAAAGACGTGCCCTGAAGTGAGACTGTTCTAGGGGCTATGGGGGCATGCACACCAAGAAAGTTTTGAATTTTCAGGCGTCTTCTTTGTCTCTGCTGACATCCTAGAGACCTAATAACCAGACAAGTCGGTCGTATCAAACATTTTTCGAGTTTCGACGCCCTATACAAGCTTTGGCGCCCCTATAAAAAAGTCAGCTGAGGGGGCCCTGGCAGGCCGCCACTGTTTCTTTGACTTCGGTTTCTTCCATATAAGGGATAAGCTTTCCCTTTCTGCTTTTTCGAAAGATATAGCTACTTTTCCCTTTTCAAAATATTCTCCCTTTCTCCGTCAGTCCATTGATTGTCATTAACGCGATACGAAGTCGCATCTCCATAACACTTTATGGCATTGGTAGCCTTCTATCCGACATCCGACACTCTACCGATGAATTTTAGCCAGATATCACGTTCATTATCTTTGCACAGGCTGGGGTACCCATCTGCCCTGTAACAAAGCATATTTTGCCGCAGCTTTCTTGCTTCTATCCCACAAGCATTGTATTGTACGTATTTTTTGATTGACTTCCACTTCTTGATAGCTTTCGAAACGTCAAACATCGTCTAACTGTGGGGGTTTTTTTTTAAAACTCTGCAAAGGCACGAAATGCTCGTGGTCGTCACACTGCTTTTGGTCAAACCACCTCATCGTACTAAACACTCCATCGTCGTATGTTTTCACTCTTCAGACGTTCTTGCATTGTTTCGATAAGTTTTTCATCTGTGGCACTGTGTTGGCGCAGGACTTCCTCCTCTACTGCTTAGTGAAAATTCTTCATTTCCCTAATTTTTACAGTAACAGGGCTGTGATTGTCTGTTATGGAAACTGTCTCATGCACGTGTAAATTCACCTGTAATTGTGGTCTTGCCTGAAACATCAATAGCAACATGGTATCTACACAAACTGCTACCAGGTCCCTCTTCTGTGACTAGTTCGCAAGTTGGGCACATGGCCATATCTCAAAGGGCAGTAAGCCCTCTCACTCGAAGACTTTCGACACTGGTTTTGCTTTCTCTAAAAGATCCAAGTAGCAACATGTGCAAGTCAGAAACTTGTAGTTATGAAATTTACACAACAGGCCCTGTATCTTTGCCTTTTTCCCTCTTTCCTCCTTTTGTCAGACACCACACTTTCGTAGACTGTGTCAAATGCAGGCCACATGTCTAAAAGTCTTGTGTATGCTCCAAAGCGATGTCCGATAAAGAGAGTTCGCTTCAGTTCAAATGGTATCTTTCTAGAGGCTTGATCACTCAATGGTCACTCACAATGAAAATTGAATAAGATACACTTTTTATAAGATACCATTTCTTTCACATCTGATAACGACCATTTCTTTGTCACGACCAGCTTTTCTTGCTAGAGACCCATCCTATAATATGGACATAAAATCGGTACTTACGAGAATCACGGCACATTTTTCACTGATAGCATCATTGACGCAAGTAATAAATTCACGTGCAGCATGAGAGTCGTCTTTACCTGTTTAGAGGACTGAAAAATAAAGACTTGTTATTTCTCGCAAAACAGCTTGAACTTGACAATTTTGTTTGTCAATCAGGGTTCTTTCGCCAAATTTTTTCGTCTGACACTGATCATAACAAAACTTTAGGAAATTATCCAACCAGTGGCTGTATGGCTCTACTATGACGTAAGTCGCACATAATACAAATTTAGCTGTTATCTATGTAGTATTTGGTTGTATTGTCTGAAAAAAGTTGAATTGAATTGAAGTCAATTGATCATTGCCACTGTAATAAGCCCGTGGAGCATTTTTCTTTATGGGGGATGGCAGAAAAATATGACGAGTCAGCAAAAACTGTCTTGGAGAAGCAGGGGATGGGGAAATGTCGCTTCCTGCTAAAAAGTGGAACTCAAGACTGACCGGGGACAAAAAAGTCCCAGAAAATGGGGCAAAGAAATCTAGTTTAACAGACAAAATTTTGTAATAGTGCAGTTGAAAGATACAATTTGCTGACTATAGATATCATTGATTACATACAACTATCAATTTTCTAATTAAAACAGAGATATGAAATGCTTTCTCAAAGAAAACAATGCTATAATTGTGGCATCTCTACTATCTAAGATTATCAAAAATATCACAGTCACATTTTTCCAAAATCCTCTTCAATTTGACAATTAGAGTGACCTCCTTTATTACTACAGTCAATATCACTAAGGGAAGCCAATTAAATGTAAGCTTCCTTTTGGTTCAAAAAGTCAACAAAATTCACTCCTTCAGAATCTCCCTAACAAGTTTCTCAGCTTCTGCCAACTTCTTGAAACTGCTTGCCTTTCCTTGGTACCTGTTCTTTTTGCCCCCACCTTTGCCATCTAATACCTCAGCCACTTTTGGCCCAGTCTTCATTACCATGCTTTCTGGACCACAAATCACAAACATACCACCAGTTTTGATTTCACCAGCAGAAACCATTATCAGACATTCACTGGCCTTCTCTTTTAGCTGATTGATAAATGCATTAATATAGTCAATATCGCCATCTTCTCTGTGTTTAAAAATGGCACCCTCCTTTTTGGCAACATCAGCTATTTGCAATGCTTCCAAAGTGGCCACTTCTTTTAAATAGCTTTTGCAGTTTCTTTGCAATGCTTTTGAACTCTTTTGCACTTTTTCAATTGATTTAACATGCTCATCTGGGCCAGTACTCAACAGCTTGGTCAAACTTACTTCATTCTCAATGCAGGAGGCAAGTTTGATAACAACTCTTTGACCAGCCAAAAAGAATAGCCTTGTTCCACCTCTCATTGATTCAGTATGCAGTAGCTTGATAGCTTGTATTTCACTTGTATTTGACAAATGTGTACCACAACACATGTTCTTCTCAATTCCTAGGATAAAGATCATATAAGAACAAAGCATTTTAATAAAATAAAAGTTTATGTGAAAAAACATAGCAAAGTGGAGCTAGTCCTATATTTACATGATATCATTTCCCAACAACTTGATTATTGATGTCTAACTAAACACAGAAATTATCCAATTGAACAATGTCATTATTGTCTGAAAGGGTGGTGTATCTAGTAAAAAGATAAGATCCTAGAAAAGATGGATATTTTAGGAATTTCTCTGTATTGAACCTCTCTGCATTCCATGCAGACTACTTTTTCTGAATTTCATTTTCCTCTCTCTCTCACTCTCTGGAGTAATAAAGGGGTGCATTCCAAAAAATTTCATAGCCAATGCTTATCTAATTAATTCTTCTTATCCACATTCAATTAATATAATCTATCTAATCTATTCCCATCAGAGTACACAGACTTTTTAAAAATACTTTAAGGAAATATCTTTGAAAAACATTTTACACAGTTCTTTACAAAATTCATACAATTACACAACTCTATGTGTACTTTAAAAGCATTTTATTGTATTTAGCAAGTATAATTTTTCACCTTTCATCTCTACTATTCTGATATTCTCTGTGACATCTTCAGGTAAGCCTCGCGATTTGACCTCCTCCACTTCCATTGCTTCATCTTTACTCATCAAGTGCACTATAATATCTCTGTGTTCCCTTATTCTTTCATTGCATTCCCCTTCTATCAGGTTTATTTGCTCTTGAGTGATATTTGGTGTATCAAATTCAACATTGGAAACTTTGGTCCTGATAAAATAAAAATAAGTTAACATTAATTCAAATTGATCATCAATATCATGGCATAACTTCCCTTGTCAGATATCTAAATATCAAGCTACAAATTTTGAAATTTTAGTTTTACGGAGCAACTGGCATGTTCCAAAAAATGCACCCTTGATGTCTATGTGCAAATGCCCAGGCAGATGTGCCAAGTTTCCTGCATTTGGTGGTAAAGTCGCCCACTCAAAAGCCATTTTCCCATACCCAACATGCATAACTAATTTTGAAATAAAAAGGAAATTTATTACCAGTTGCAAATCCAAGTTTATTTCTTTTGGGCAACATTCTATTTTGGCATGATCTAAATATTAACTGCACTTTAGGGGCCCACAATTTCCTTACCTGGTCATAAGCTGAATTGAATAACAAGTCATTAACCAAACCATTAGAATCATATAACAGTTGGAAGTTTGAATTTTATACCTTCACCTAGTTAAGGAGTGTAAACCACTCATATAATGGCACCATTCAGCGTTTCATTAACAGTTTAGATAACATTATATTTTGAATGTTTTGCTGTAGGCCCCCTTAAACTCCATTAAGTTGTGAGCAAAAATAATTTTATCATCGTCCGTCTCTTCATACCTTCATTTTCCCTTTTGATCAAGTCACCTTGGCTTGGTAGTAGAGATTCAGATCAACTTTATACAAGATAACAAAAATGTGGGCTGCCAAAGTTCAGACTAGTCAAATTACATTACACTCATTCTTTCATAAGAAACAAAGGTTGATGTTGAGTATTCCAGTTTCTTAATCTTCTGGAAATTGCAAAACTTGCTGTTTGTTAAGAGGTTCTTAATTATGATGTCATGAATGATGTTATGAAATTTTTGTGACCTTTTTTATCATGTCAAGAGGTTCGATTCCATTTTGATGCTGTATTTAGATGTGGGAAGTATATTTTCATCCCTTGCATCTTAAGTTCTAGGCCAACAGGGCAATCATGTTCTTGGATTCTACAAAATTTTGCTGTTCTCAGTTTTATCACGATTCAGTACTTTCTGGATTTTTTGCTTTGAGCACTGAAGTTTTCTTAATTTTTTCTGATTCTCATTTGAGGGTAATAGCTTGATTCTACTTCTCTTAATGAGGTTTTATCATTTTTTAGTGATATTCCCATATATTAGAGATCTGCTTGCTTGGATATGCTAGAAATATTGATGTGCTTGCTTGCTAATTTCCTCGTTGCATTATCAATCTGCATATGTTTTCCTTTAACGCAGGCTTTACTTTGTACGGGAATGGGGGGCATTGCAGCATGAGTTGGGGGGGACTTGAATGGATGTGACAGCAGAACATGATTTCTGCAATTAACAAAGATAAAATGTGAGTATTCAACACAACCAGAGCAGGACTAAAATCTTCAAGCTTCATTGTGATTATTGCTTTACGGCTGGGCAAACATGCCACATTTTCAAAATCAAGCCCAAAGAGCATAGCCCAAAGCATATTGAGAGGGTTGGATAAAAAACGTCCCCATGTGATATCTACTAAATAATTTACACATTACATTATTTACACATTTCCGCTTGTTACTGGGTTGTTCCTCGTTTTAGAAGTTTCTAAACACGGCGTGTAAAAGAGGGCTTCCCACACCACGGTGGTCAGCGACATCGTGTTGCCCCCTCAAATGACAAACAGCCAGTTGATTCAAAGGTAGTTGTATATGCGCATGCCCATACTATTTACGACAACATAAAAATAGATACCCTAAATCCCACGATGTTGTTTTGAACCCATATTTCTGATGAGCAATCGCTGACAATAAATGTTGTCCGGAATGCTGCTGCATATGGTCGAACCTTCTTTCCCAGTCGATTTTGCAATCATAGGCTTCCTTTTCGCTGACTGGATCTGACAAAACATGTATCGCTTGATTCCCTTGCCTAAAAACACGTTCAACATTCACGTCCCCGATCTTCCCCCTATCGTCAGGTTGTCCACCTCCTTCTGGAAAAAGAACGGTGTCATCCAAAAGGACATGATATTTATCAGCGACCTTTTTGCAAGAAATGACAACAGATTTCAGCTCTCTTAAATAGGGATTTCTTTGACAAGCAAACATCATGCATCTGAGTAAATTGCTACAAATCAATGATGCAGGCAATGAAGCCCAGCCTTTTAAAAACAAAATGGCCGAATCCCGCCATCTAATTGCCTCCCTTTACTTACGGAACTCGAGGCTACTACAACATGGAGGCTTATACCCCTCTCCTCAATAATAGCGGTTTCAAGTCGCCAAGTAACCAATGAGTTTGAATATTGAAAAAATGCATGACTCTGCTTCTTGGAATATTTGTAATATGCTCTTATCTTTGCTCTGTTAAAATCTCACGACGAAATTTTGTTGAGTAAATGTGAAAAAAAGGCTATAAAAGAACAAAATCTTTAACGATTTTATGGTTCAGTGAGGAGAAACTTGCTGCAAAAACGATTAGTAGAAAGCCAGGAAAAAATTGAGAAACGCCAATACTCAAGGAATATAATAAAAGAAGCATATAATAAAGAAGCAATTGTGAAAAAACTAAGATCCCAAATGTGAGTCGATTATTTGCATAAAACTTTAGACGCAGCGAATAAAAATATACTTCCCTCTTCTAAGTACAGCATCAACCAGTGGCGTAGCGTGACCTTTCTCGCTGGGGGGGGGGGGGCGGGGGTGTAGGAGATGCAAAACCTGATTCCCTTTTTCTTTGAAACCAAAGAAAATTTATACCCTTTTCCCTGAAGTCAAGTAGTTGAAATAAGGCCAAACAAAGAAAATTAGAAACTATATTAAAGGACAAGTGACACGCTTTTGGCGCCAAATTTTTTTCTTCTTTTAACTTAAAGTAAAATGCTGTATGAGAGTGCTGTTGAAATATTTTTCCTTTCTGATTTCATTTTCCTACTTAAAAACCCTTTTCAAATTATGGCGGGAAATGAATCACGTGACACCGTGACGTAGATTGTGATAATTTGTTATTGCTGCTACTGGTATACAGTGCAATATTAACGTTTACAACACGCTTCTAACCGAATTCAGTTCGTCTGGACCTGTCGCGTCGTATTTCGTAAACTCTCTATTAATGACAGGAAAATTCCGAGTTATCACAATGTACGTCATAGGGTCACGTGATAAAAAGGAAAATCGCGCCCCCTGCGCCCCCTGATTAGAATTTTTTGTTCTAAACCAGGAAAAACGTACCTCAAATGATGATCTATTAGTAAATGAAAAGAAAAGATAGGGTGAAAAGTGTGTCACTTGTCCTTTAAGATTCCCATATCATGCACCCATTATTCTATCTTCTATGTCCTAGATATATATGACAAAATTGAGCCCATTTCTCAGAGATATTAAAGAGACGGGTGCTTACACTTGACAATAAGAAAGGACCCACCGGGCAACCCCTCCCCCCGCCCCCAATCAGGCAAATTTTTTCGAATTTCGGGCCTATTTGTGCGGGCAAGACCCATTCAAAGAATGTTCCCTCTCTTACAAATATCTTGACAGAAATGTGTTTCACTGTTTGCAGCTGCGAAAACCATGAAAAGCGAATTTTGTTGAAAAATTTCCTAGCGTGACAAATTAAATATAGGAACCCAATTTCATAATGATGTGTGCAACTCATTTTTTTTAAACTGATGCAAGATCTTAAAATCTTTATTTTAAAATGAATCCGTAAAGCGCGGTAGCAACGAACGACCAAGGAATCAACTTGAGGTCCTTGAGGTGGAAATTCTGATGAATGGAAGTGCTGTTTACTTCACAAAAATAGCGACTACGAATAAAGAATATTTACAATGCGATGCAAAACTAACAATTCAAGAACTACATTTCAAGGGATTACCTTTTCACGTTAAGGCAAACTAAATCGCTATTAAATCTAAGTTGAAAAATTGCATCCGTATTAATTCTGCGATCGGATCTCTAGTAGTAATATTATCTACACGTTAAAGATTAAAAATCAGTTTACAAGAAAAATACAATTTTCGCCTCTCGTACATTTCGGTTGATTATTGCAGACTTTGTCCTACGCAATACAGGCCCAGTGTCTTTTAGAGATATATCGTCCACTATAGCAAAATCTTTGCTGTGGCCTACACTTGTTCCATTATTCAACTTTTGCTTGTTATCATTGTTCGCATCTGAATTTTCTAAGTCAACCTTTAATGGCAAATCCTCAGCAATTAAACCTGGTTTTAATATCACAGCTTGGAGCCCCTCGGACTTTGTGCGCCTTCGCTTTGTCGCTGCATCACCAGCATGCGACTCAGATTTGGCTCTTGCGACCATCTTGTGAACATCCTTTGCCAACATTGCTTTTACACTGACCTTCCTCAGACCTCTATCGGATTTGAATGAATTTCGAAGTGAGCTTCTGTTTCTGGTTAATGAACTCCGCGTGCCACCTCTGATAAAACTTTTAGTTATATTCTGGTTACCATCCTTGTTTGATTTACCTTCTATTTTTGAGCTGCTATCTTGTAAAGAACCTTTTTGGCTTGCTCTTTCTTTTAGTGGGTCATCTCGTTTTATTTTCATTTGGCTTGCATTATGTACCTTCCCATTCATTGGTGATTCCGAATCTTTCTCTATTTTTCTTTGCTTACCGTCATCAGAATTCGCGCTGAGTCGACTATTTTGCGGATGTGTTTCTACCTTGACACTCAATCCATTTCTAGATAAGGAATCTTTCTCTGTACCAGAATCTTTACTCATCTGAATCGGCAATATTCTATTGGACCTCTCGATGTTTTCCTTGACTTTCTTTTCTTTTTCTGATGTGTTGAGGCATTGCTTGCCATCTGGCATTTTCATTCTGCATCGCAGAGTTTTCAATTCTTTACCTCGTTCTGTGACACACTCCTGCTCATTTGGTTCATTTTTGTCACTTGCTCTGGCTATTCTCTCTTTTTCCAACTTCCTTCTTCTCAGTTTCTCTCTTATCTCATCCCAATGAAAATCGTCATTGCGCCCTCGCAATCCAGCCCTAGTTGGCTTCACATCAGCATCCAATACTTCTTTTTCCTTCTGTTCCTTAACTTCGTCATAACTATTAGCAACAGAGTACTGCTTGCTTCTCAAGTCCTTATCGTTTTCAAACTTGCTTACAAAATCCTCCTTACTGAAGCGATTGTCTTTGTCTGACCCATTAACCGCTCCAGCAATGCTATTTGAACCCCTTTCTCGCTCCAATACTTTCTTCACATTTGAATTTTCTCTGACAGGAGATAACAAAGCTTTTCTCTTTTCTTCTCGTTCTTTAGAATCATATCTATGGTTTTCGTGGGATTGTGGTTTTTCTGTATCTCTTAAATCTGTTGAATGATTACTTTTCTGTTTATCTTCCTTTTTTCTTTGGTTAACAAAATCTCTATATTTAGAGAGATCCGGCTCTTTAAGTCTCTCTTTTTCGAGTCTCATTAGCTCAGATTTCAAAAACTGTCTTGTTTTGGGGGTAAGTGACCTGCTAAACGAGCCATACCCTTCATCATCGTATTTTGATGGCGTCAAAGACGAACCCTCGACGATCTTGTCTTCGTTGTCAAACTTCAAGCGAGATCCTTCGATCACGCTGTCTCTTTTGAAAGTCCTCGAACGAGGGCTTTCAACGACTCTGTCTCTACACAGACTAGCGTTTTCTGAAGACACATCCCGCGATGAATTGCGAGAGTGCCGAGTTCGAAATTGAAGGCCGTCTTGACTACCGTTCGTAACATCAGACGTGCTGCTAGCGATGCTGATACTACGACTGACTTTTCGAAAGCTACTTCTTGCACTAGAGTTACGACTGCTCTTGGCGCTGGAATTACGACTGCCTCGAAAGCTCGAGTTTCGACTGCTTCGCTTGAAACTAGGCACCGAAGTCGATCGCATCATTGCACGTGAGCTGTTTTTTCGGGATAAAACTTTTTTGGACAGATTTTCATTTGCAGTCATCAGATCTTTGATAAACTGGTTTAATGTCGAGAAAACGTTCATTGGCTGCGACCTGTTGGGGTCAATGCCGAAGTAACCTGTGAGATCTTTCAAATCTTGCTGAACTTGTCGGCGCTTGCGTTTTAAATGATTCAAGTCAAACTTCCCTTGTCTGAGGAATTCCTGAAATAAAAGTTTAATTAAAACGAATATCGAATGCCGATAAGACGATAAAAATAGTCAAGCACTAAGAACTGAACCAACTCAAAGCCGAAGATAAGCTATCTGCCAAATTTGTAAAGGGTGCTTTGGAAAAAATTTGTATTGAAAACTGCATTAAGTGTGTTTTTTTCGCTGCCATCAAATATTTTAAAAAAAACCAAGACTATTGATATGTTTACTCAAGGCAAAAAAATTCGCTAATCTCTATTTGTGTCTAACCTGGCTTCTGAGTTTGTTATCTAGTAGCGGCAAAGATATAACAATCAAGTTTCAAGATTCAGGCCTGCTGTTGCATAAGAATTCATTAAAGATAAATTTCCTAGTATCGGGTAAGAATTAGCCAGAGCAACTGTTTGACTGGTCTTTCATTTAGTAAAATGCTCGAAGCCGTATAAGCAGAGCTGTAAACGGTACGGTGTACGGTTTTAAGTTGCAACTCCAAATTTTACGCTTTATAAAATCGCCAGGCAATTTTTCTAATAAGGGTTTATGTAGAATATGAATTACTATGAAAATAAAAGAAATTATAATGAATTTTCAAATCATAAGATTTCAAATTGAAAACTAATGTACCAGTTGGACCGATTTTTACCTTGAATGCTTGGCTTTCCTCGATAATTGAATCCAATTCCAAAGCAAGGGACTTGAATGATTTAAAGAAAGGAAAGGGAAATCAACATCATGGTAGGAAATACGACATGCCAAAAGGCATTTCATAAAAACTTATACTATCCTCATCAATTTGAGAGGAAGATAAATCAAACGCAAGGGCTTAAAAATGTGATTCAGGAACTCAATGTTATCAATATAAAATAAGGAATTATTTACTTATTTTATCTTGGTATTGGCTATTATATTACCCAAAGTGTAATATTGTGTTTAAAGCCAATCGTTGTAACGAAATATGTTTTTTCCTAAAGAACTAACTCTGGAATGTAAGCTAAAACATAGCAGCTGGAAATTGGTTAATAAAGGAAGGACTGGGTTTTGAAAACAACGAAAATTTAAACTACAAGGTGCCATGGTCTATGGCAAGGCAAGGTGCTATGCCAAGTCTCCTTTTGGTAAATGGATGCAGATATACATTCCCAATTCAAAGAAGTTTTTCATTGTCTTTAGATTCTACAAACTATTGCCTTTAAAACTATCTTTGAAAACTAACTGGCAATATTCTCAATGCCTGTTGAATTTTAATGATGTAAGTTTAAGATTGATAACTGAGACAATACTTACCCCATATTCAACTGCCAACTCGGTCGAATCTCGGTCAATATCATTCAAAGAAACTGAAAAAAAAACATTAATGTTACATAGATATGTTCGTTCGGAGCCTTCAGTTATCAAGAAAACAAAAAGCACTAAAGCTTCGAGAAAGATATAGGCATTAACAAATTTTACATAGAAATTAACTCCAGGCTGCGGGTGCGGGGTAATATTACAGAAAGTTGAAAGGCATCGTTCAAATTACCTTTGACAGCTTGCTGTAGGGTAGGTAGCTCCTCTGCTAGTTGAAGCGCCTCTGAATCATTTGTTGTCAGCTTCTGAACGAGGTACATGAGAAACGTAGTGTCTCCATCTGCCGATTTGAAGCAAGATGCCTGCAAAAAATTCCATTTGAATTCAAATGAATAAGTCGAGGTTTTGCTTCCATACTGCCTTATTAAAGTTTGTACTATCAAATGAATTGAACAGACTGCAAAAATAACGACAATATAAAGTCTACATTTTGAACACGTAGATCTTCTAATATCTTATTTTATGAAAATTAATCAAGTGCAATTTATAAATAAGAAATGTTTGGAACGTACTGATGAGAGAAAGTCGATGTTGAATGCTTCTGTCGAGCTGTTGTTCATCAACCTCCCTAGAGACAGTATATACTGAAAAGAGAAATGCACAGGTTATCAGGCCTACATAGCTATACGTATAAAGCATTTCAGGGTTATATCATGACATCTTTATATTGAAGGGAAAGCACTTGTCTCGAGGCTCTGAGTCAAAACCTATATGGTATAATAAAGAAAATATGGTATTATTAAATATAGCAAATGTTGCTGAAAGTAAGTAGTCAAAACATAGAAGGTATCAATGAAAAAGTAACCCCGCCTCTATCTAGCATGAAATCCTTTCCTCTTTAATCTTCCATTGTAAGTTAACTTATCGAAGCAGTGCTGTTACCAAAAGTTGCTGTTACCAGTAGCCTGACTGGCTGAAAATAAATTATATGCACGAGTTTCAAATGCCAGTTAAGCAGTTCAGGGTTTATTAAACTGATTTAACTTTTGGTGCGTTTTGAAATTTCTTTCCCTGCCTAATCCAATGACAGTTATTGCCGTGCCTCTTTATGGCAAGCCAGCCAGGAATCATATAAAACGTGATGTATTACCAACAAGGCAGTTTCAAGTTTGCTGCTGTGTCGTATCTCTCTTGCTGCATCTCTTACGATATCGAGATTCTACAAAAGAAAAGCTAAACAAATGACGATCAAATTGGCTTCAGGGAAGACACTAAAATGGTACTGGTAGCAATGCTGTCTTCATTTTTAATGATGCTGTTTTTCAACGCTAGATAGGCAAGATGTAAAAAATTTCTAGAAATCGGGCTAAGAAGGTTTTTGCTACAAATGATGAAAAATGGCTTTTTTGGTCTTCAATGCAAAATATACTAATATACGTACTGTTTTACGGTTTTTGACCGTACTGTTTTACAGTTCGATCTATGCGAATGTCTGACTAAAGAAAAGGATCAAGCTTTGTCTTCGGTGGAGATACATCAAGATTATACCGAGACAGATTTGTCGTGATTTTACAAAAGATGCTACAAAAAACTAATTTGAAGACAGTTTGACTTGGGGTAGAGTAGAGAGGGCTTGCTCTTAAGTGCCAGTAAACGGCTCCCTTCCACTTTTATAAAGGGGGCATCCGGCAGGGCCACTTTTACAAAAAACAGATGTACTTTCCATCTTTAGCGAGACTGATTAAATGATAATATCTTTTCAAGATAAAAAAAATGCAAAAAGTGAAAACAGCAAACTTTGATATCAAGTAGGTTGCTCTTCTTCTATAATTGTCAAAGCATATCGTTAAATAATATCTCTTGTTTTCAAAACTTTGCTCTTGACTCTCTACACTGGAAATAATTTCATTTTTTTCATTTTATGCTATTTGAAACGAATACCCCTTCAGCTATTTCTAATCACACAATAAATAAACAATTAATAATTAAGATACAAGTTCTATTAATTGATAATTTTCATACAGCTTATAAACAAAATGCAAAATATTAAAATCTAGGTCGCTTATTGTGACAAGGAAGCGAAGTGGAACTATGTCTCCACCAATTTAATTGGATACTGCCTTGAACACTTAGCAAGTACAGCTAAAAAAATCATGAAATGACAATAGATCAAAAAACTTACTTGGCAAATTGCATTTACTCTGTCATAAAACGAGCACTGAAAAACCATTGCCCGGATCTTTTTACGGTATTCTGGCACGCTCGATAACTGAAAAAAACAGAGGCGTAAGACATGCACAATTTTACGATTATCGTATTCAGCATTCAGTAATTCTGCATAAATTATCATAATCAACCATTTTTATTACACTGTAAAAACCCGCATAAAAAATCCTTGGATGTTTGTGCAGGGCCTGATCCTAAACTGGAGGGGCCACTAATGTAAAAAATGTATCTTCTTACTCCCTCTGGCCCCGACGCTGTTATACTTGTATTCTTTGATTCAATGTATTTTATGTAATCTAATGGTTTATCTATATAAATAATCTAAGATACTTGTTTTCCTTTATTTAGCGAAGAATGGGCCTCGAGGCTCTTAATTAGCAGCTAATCTAAACGTGTTCTTACCGTAAATCCTCGAATTGGCTCCCCCCCCCTTGAAAAAGCCCCTCAAATAAGCCCCAACCTAGATCTTTGAATTGCCTATAAGCCCCCCCCTCAAATAAGCCCCCGCTGCTACCGTAAATCCTCGAATTGGCCCCCACTGCTACCTTAAAAACAAGATCTATTAGTTGAAAGGGTGGGGGGGGGTTCGACATATAAATGAGTATTTACGGTAGGTTCAATTGACCATGTGTAACTTTCTCGGTGACCTGATAGCTAAAATCGAGATTCACGCAGAAAAGATCTGTTAGGGTTAGCTTCGATCACTCGCTGCCAAAAAAAGGCTTCTCAAAGAAAATTTTATCTTTTTAAATAAAGAAGGTAATGAAGAAATCCTGAAATCACTCTTGCCCTTATCTGTTGGGAGGCGAAAAAGTAAGAAATCTTGCAATGGTCACTAAATTTTTCGTAAATGCCTAAATTTATTTGCAAAAGACTAAATTGTTTGGAGGCGAATAGAATCTCATTTTCACTTTTCTTCATCACAATTTCTTTTTCCACGATAGGGTATCTACGAAAGATGAGTTTCACAGCGTTTTACAAAGTGTCTCCTAAAAAAGCAGACCCACAGAGCATCTTTTTTTTCCTCCAGGCAAATTCCCCCTTGGCTATGCTTCTGGGTGTGTACCAAATGAGTGGAGCACAAAATGATAATGCAATGCTTTATGATTCAAGAAGGGCTATGGAGCATTTCAAAGGGCTTGGGTGTTCTACGGCAGTCTAGATAATGTAACAAAAAGTACCAAAAGGGTTATGGTCTTCATCTTTTTAGGCAGTTTCTCTATCCATTTTTAAAAACCTCAATGAAATTTGAAGACCCATAAGGAAAATGCTATTTTAGAGGCAATAACAGAAAACTCACAGAAAAGTTAACAACAGTCTCGTAACTTTAAAACATATCAAGCAGAAAGTGATGACTTGTAAAATTAAAAAAACAGATTTGAATACTTTTTTTAATATGTTCAACAAAAACCTAAATATTATTGCTACACAGCTCAAAGAAGTCACACAACTATACGAAAAGAATTTAGAAAGCCTGGGAAAGCCAGTATTTGAAAACAGACCTCGTTGGGACATGATAAACTTATGTCTTTATGTCATTCAATGCTTTGGTTTTCATATCTACTCAAATTTACAATAACATATAATAGGGTGATTTAATATTGGCTAAGAGTCGTATCAACATTTCATTGGTATCAAGTAAGGTGGTCAGTGTATTGTCCAAAGTTTTTGAAAGATGGGAGTTTGCTTAACGCCAGAAGCACGCGCTTGGGTTTAAGAAAGAAAAAATCTGAGCACTGAAAAATAATCTGCTTGCTGCCATCAGGGCTGAGGGCAACCTTCGTAGCTAAGTCCCTATTTACACTACACAAACTAACCCGGGTCCTTGAGGTGGGTTAGTTCAAAACTAATCCAGGTTAACTTTTCAATAATGTAGTCTAGGCGCGAAACTGGAGCGAACCCAGATTAGTTTTTATGATTAGCACGCGCACTCTTGCTTGAAACGAAAAAGGCGACAAGCAAGGCTCTCCGTTCACTTGATATTGCTTGTTAACCCAATTTTGCCCCAGGTCAGCGCTTACACTACAAACCAAAACTAACCCGGGTTAAACTAACCCGGGCTAACGTAGCCCGGGGCGAGCCTGGGTTAGTTTGTGTAGTGTAAATAGGGCTTAAGAGGATGCAAACTGTTTTGCTTGGATTAATTTCAAATCAGATTCATAAACTCTATCCAGTTCAGTCATGAACCTTGCTTAAAAAATCTCTTCGAAACTAAGCATTAGTTCTATGCAGTCATTTTTGTAACGAAAACTCCTGAAGTTTTTACATTGCGGTTTTCACAAATGGCCTAGACACAGAGAAGGAGTTGAGCAAACGTTCAGTCTTCATTTCTCCGTCGGTGTAAGACCAAAGCTTTTACAAACGAAATATGACCAAGCAAAAATCTTATCTGAGAGTATCTTGTGACAGAATTTTAATGGAGCAGGAGCACGAATGATTTATTATCTCTACAAAACGTTTGAATTCGTTGCGAATTTTCTTCTGGCAGTTCACATCTATTGATATTGTCTTTCTCCATTCTGCGATATTGTACTGTTGTTCTCTCTAGCGCGTTGCAAAACAATGTACAAAGAAATGCTCACAATTTTACTACTGATTGAAGTTTCTACATCTCCTACCTCTAATGCTTTCTGAATAGCCATCATAAGTCCATTTCTAATATCACTTGAAGTTCTAGCAAAGCAGTCCAGCCACAAATGTAGTTGATATTCGCCTCAGAATACAACAGCTTTTGAGGCAATCAAATGACAACACGATTGGTTGTGGTACCATAACTGGCTTTCATAAACCGGCGATAAAGCTCTCTCGTTTACATGGTAGTTCTCCCTGTCACCAAACAGTTTTTCGCCCAGAATATGAATTACTTCCACCATTATTACAACGCCGAGAATGATGATGACACAAACAACAAAAGTAACAATCATTTTTCCAGCCTTTCTCTTTACTCAAATTCACTTTCTATACCTCACAGACATACAGTAAATCCGATCCAGGCTACAGGTTGTATTCCGAACGCCACTGGAACTCATTCATACTTTCTCAAACAAATCATGCAGCAATGGCCTTGTAGGTTTTGCAATGTTTTGCGATTTTCTTTTTAACGGGGAAAATACTGAAAGAATTCATTGAACGGTTGAAAGAGTTTCTCATATAAAAGCTAACCACAATTGTTCCTTCTCAGTTTCGAAACAACAGACAACGGCTGTATAAAACTTATTACTTGATTAAACACGCCGTTTTGCAGATATTTAGCGATGTTTGTCATTGTTCAGGGCCTCCTTCCCCTAATTAAATGCATATAACAGAGCATATCTAAGCAGGGTTTGGGCCCTTTTCTTGGAGCTGGAATTCGAAATGTTGACCTGGATATGAAATTCTGCGGAGCTGTAAAATTTAAACAAAACAATAAAGAAATGCTTTTTTTTAATCATTTTCTCATTATATTTCGACTACAATTCTTACAATTCTCATTATATTGCCAAAGAAATAGTTCGACTGTACTGATGATAGAAACTGTATTGATCAGCTGATTACCTGAGCCGTAACTTTTGCTATTCAATTGAATTGTAAGTCAACACTCAGAGCCACGGAGAGGGGAAGGGGGCAGAGGAGGCAAATTGCCCCAGGGCCTCAAGGTCTAAGGGGCCTCATAAAATTATGAATTTCATTTGAAGAATGAAACTAATCAACGAGACAATGTATGCCTCTAAAAGTAGAACATTTCAAACCATTACGAGAAAATGACTGTAAGAAATATTCTGAAATTTATCTTAAGCGACTTTAAAGGGCGTGGCTTGCAAAATTTTTCTGATCGCTTCGCTCGCAGGGGCCTTCGCTTCTAGCTTTGCCCTGAGCCTCCGAAACTCGCGGCGACCCTGCCAACACTTGTAACAATTTGATGAAAATATTGAGTGGATTGGTTTGTATTTCCTCTGATATAAGTTTGGTTTTTAAGAGTGATTAACGCTCAAAATACAATGATGATTTTTGGAGCTTGAAATTTTCTTTAGTATAAACATTGTACATACAACAATGTACTGTGAAAGTGATTAGAAACAGTAAACTATAACGAGCAAAAAACTTGGAAGCAAAAGCGGCCTACTCTAAATATAAAAAACGCTATCATATTTCTATCTAGCTTTATGTAATATATATGAAGTGAGTTCAACTGTAAGTATAACTCTGAAACAATGCAAATTATCTTACCAGCAAAGAGAATCTCTCTGGGTCTGTTAATATTTCGGACCCCATGGCTATGTTGGTTGAAGAAAACTTGCGCATCAGTGACGTTTCCTGATATTCAAGAAAAAACATTTAGACCTCGGAGAAATGCAGGACACAGGAATGCAAGGAATAATCAAAATGCACAAAAGACTGTGACATAGGGACACTGAGTCATAGAAAAAGATGGCGAGAGAGAACTGTGGAGACAGCTCTCAAAATTAGAAAGACAATATAACGTGGGGAAAATTGAAGAAACAATATAACGTGTACAATGTGAAACCCAAGAACTACGAATAGATAGTTAAGGAAGATATGGCTACAAAATGGAAGGGCTTTAAGAAGAGAAAAAGGACCAGAAAAGGGGGAACAGAAAAAGGACCAGAGAAGAGGGTGTGTAAAGAGAAAGGGTCAGAGAAGGAGAAATGAAATAGAGGAAGAGAAAGGACAAGAGAAAAACCATAACGAAATTTGAATTAATAGAGGATGAGACATCATAAAGGAGAAAAATAAACCAAGAAAGTTGTAAAACTATGAATGGGTGTAAAAGAAAACACGTGATGACAGACGACTGAAAAGAGGCTGCTTTGATAAGCGAGTAAGAAGCACAGGATGTTAAAAGAAGTGAACGCGCCAGCTAAGCAAAAGTGTGAAGTTCGGACACCACATTTTAAGTTGATCAGGACTGTTATGTTGTTAGGTCAATTAGTATGTTGCTCGAACTTAGTCTTGTTTTATAATCTCAGTTTACGTGGGTTAATTGCAGCTCTTAGCAACATAGTAAAATGACGAAAAGCATCAAATATTTTCCGAATGGATATTTGAAGAGCGCTTTGAGAACATGTGTTCGAGAAACGTCGAGTGTACCATGAAGTATATACCTCAGTTTGGTCTGGAAGAAAACTTTCCATCGAAGAAAGAAAGTCAGCTTCGATCAGCCCAATGTCCACATTATTGATGGCATTGAAGAGGTTGTCAGCACTTAACTGGTGATGTGCCAACGCAATAGCTGTAATGGAAATAATAATTAGTAAATCATCTGAAGGCCTACATGCACCCCTTGACGTTTAGCAAATAGAATAACGCCAAAACAGCAAATATCGGAAATTTATATACAACTGTAACCAGTCAAAGAGTCATTTAAAATCCGATATCCAAAGACATTACTTAATACATCCCTTATGAACAAACGTTTCTTCATATAACTTAATGTTCTTAAACTTTAAGATCGAAACATTTAGAGAAGCAAATCAAAGAAAGAGAGGCAAGAGTAGAGAGAAGAGGCATTTACAAAATGCCGTTTCTTCGGCCAATTGTAAAGATTTATTCTGTTATTTTCAACGGACAAATAAAGGATTTAATTTGAAATAAGCATAGTTACATATGTTCAGTTGCTTCTTGCCCCCAATGGTTTGGATTTCTTCTGACATCGATGCGACTGGCGACTGTGCTGCAAACCAAATCAAAGAGATTCTTGTCATTCTGATACAAAAAGGGGGATTTTAGAAGAGAGTACCACAATTTATGGATGTTTCATGCAACTTTGTTTCCCGGTTGTAGCTATGCCTGCCATTCAGAAAACCATGAAACGACTTGTAGAAGCAATCTGGAGTATAGGATCCAGATCACACCCTTGCATGAATGTATACTTTCCAAATACAACTTTGACTTTGATAAACATGTTAAACAGATAAATTTTCATTAAAGAAAGAAGAAACTTATAAAAGAGGCCTTTCTTTCCTAAAACGGGGCACTGACGGAAGATTTTGCGTTAACTTGAAGATGGTTTAGACTGTACAAAAACTTTCGCCTAGAGGGAAAGAGAGTACCAATAGTATGTAGCTCTATTTTATTTCTTTTGATAAGTGTCCCCTCTCTCCTAACTAAGATCTCTGCTGCCCGTGAATCTGCGACAACAGCATAGCATTGTGGTCCACCTCGAGCCGGATGGCACAACAAAGGAAATGTGCCTTTTTGCAGAGCTTGCTTCTGGTTTGCAAGAAACATCAATGCAATCAATACTAAAGTATGTTATGTTTCCACGTTTCCGTGCTTTTTCCATCAATGCATTGATGCACTAAAAGACATCAATTTCAAGTTAAAAAATTCACGTCTTTGAATCTGGAAACATGCATATTGCAGTCTTGTATAAAGACAAAAACTACCAAACCGGTAAATACCAACAAGATATATTACCTGAAAATTTTCGAGATTTTCGAGGTTTTTCTTTAAATAATTCAAAAACTTCATTCTTGTCAATAACATCAACCAGTGAAAGCAGTTGCTGGTTCACCTAAAAAAATTATGAGGTCCACTTAAAAATATTTTGATTTTAACCTATTTAATGGCTTAATGTTATCAGCTGATGCAGTATACCAAAACTGATGGAGAGATATCACATTGTAAATTAATAAGAGCTTTGTCTAGATATCTGTAGTGACGTAAGCAACATGTTCACAAGGACAAACACGTGTGACGAGAAAAGAATAGTGCATAGCCCTGGACTGCGTTTTTGGTTGTCTCAAGAACGCTATTGCTGGTAGAATATGTTGGCATCTACATATGGCTACACTGAAAACTCTTTTTTGGTTGGAAGTCAGTGTTAAGTAATGGGAAAGGGTAATATTATGTATTCGTAGTGAGAAAATATCTTTTCTTGGTGCCAGTTGCATCAGGAATCAAGAGCCAACATTTGATTGGTATAATGCCCACTAAATGCGGAATAATTATGAAAATTTATTCCATCAAAATGTAGTGGACAAGCTCAGCTCGTACACTGATATTTTTAACCAATGTATTAATGTTAATTGAAATATTTCGGTTTATTTTGGCTTGTATTTTGCGATTATTCTCTTTTCCTATCCGAATTAAATTGTTTTTGTAGGTAAACATTAAACATTTTTATAGCAAAGCCTTTTCATAGCGGGCAGAGTAATCAAGCTAAAAGGCAAGGAGCTAAATTTTCATTTTGAAGAAGTTATCTATGACTAAGTTTGAACTGGCTATCCATTTTCTGCAGTTACCTATGTTTAGCTTTGACATTATACAAGAATTCTGAACAAAAGAGAATGAACTATATGTGTAGGAACGTTTCTCCTTTACTTTTCAGAATCAGAAGTACAGTATCTATTTGCAGCTCACGGAGTACCTTTTTTGCCGACGTGTGCCCCCTTACATTCAAAGTTATGCTTTCCTATGTCTATGGTTTGTCAAGTTTTTGAGGTATCTGTTACCGGGAGGTGTCTATCAATGAAATTTTTGCTACATTTAAGGTAATGAAAATATACGCATGCGATGAAAAATATACATACCTTCTCCCAAACAGTATTCCTCAAATCAATTTTCAATTCCTTCCAGCTCAGTTTCTTGCATTTTGGCTCATCGTTTTCTTGTTCAATTCTATTCTTGATAACCGGGCAAGGTGGAGGTGGAGGGGGAGGAGGTGGGGGAGCCGTCGCTGGCCCAGGTGATTTTGGCACTACAGTCGTAGATTGGGGGTACTGGGTTGATATTTCAATCGTTTCGCTGCTCTCCAAGGCATCGTCGTCATTGTTGAAGTCGATTATCGTCGCTTGCATAAGCAGTCCTATTGGCTTGAACACGGCCCATTTCCCAAACTCCAGCATTTGAGTAAGCGAGGGCTGCTTTGATCCAATAAATGCTGCAAAGAAAAATTGTCTTGTTAGTGGAGTATTTATTACCAAAATTAGTATTTCAAAATAATGGCCGTGAAACTAACAAATTGGTTGGTTGTAGTCATGGTAAAATAGTGGAAAAAATCATCATGGCTTGATGATAAAAAAGATCAACAATCGAAAGAAGCTGTTTTTGAATTTCTGAGCATCTTAAAGGTAGCTTAACAGCACAAAATCTATTTTAAAGGAGGGCAAAAGGAGAAAACGTCGCTAAGGGTAGAAGGTGAAGAACGGAACTGAGTGGCTAAAATTGTTTGGAGACTAGTTGACAGAAAGAAAATTATATTCGATTGAACTTTGTTGAACGTAATGTAGTTGAAGGCAATATTATTATGCAATGTTATTTAAAACAATATTATTGAAGACAATATCATAGAAGGCAATATTATAGAAGGCATTATCATTGAAGGAGATATTAAAGAAGACAATGTTATTGTAAGAACATTATTATAAGCAATATTACAAAAGGCAACATAATTGAAGGGAATATCATTGAAGGATATATTAATGAAGATAATATTATTGTTGGAAAATTATTGTAAGCAATATTATTGAAGGCAATATTATGGAAGGCAATATTATTTAAGGCAATATTATAGAAGGCATTATCATTGAAAGAGATATTAACGAAGACGATATTATTAAAAGAAATTTCATTAAAGGCAATATTACTGAAAGCAACATTATTGAAGGCAACATTACTGTAAGCAATATTATTGAAGGCAATATTATTTAAGGCAATATTATAGAAGGCATTATCATTGAAAGAGATATTAACGAAGACGATATTATTAAAAGAAATTTCATTAAAGGCAATATTACTGAAAGCAACATTATTGAAGGCAATATTATTTAAGGCAATATTATTTAAGGTAATATTATTTAAGGCAATATTATAGAAGGCATTATCAGTGAAAGAGATATTAACGAAGACGATATTATTAAAAGAAATTTCATTAAAGGAAAAATTACTGAAAGCAACATTATTGAAGGCAATATTATTTAAGGCAATATTATTTAAGGCAATATTATTTAAGGCAATATTATAGAAGGCATTATCAGTGAAAGAGATATTAACGAAGACGATATTATTAAAAGAAATTTCATTAAAGGCAAAATTATCGAAAGCAACATTATTGAAGGCAACATTATTGTAAGCAATATTTTTAAAGGCAATATTACTGAAAGCAACATTATTGAAGGCGACGTTATTGCAACGAACTCATTGCAGCTGGATTATGATTCTACGCAAAGTAAACTGAGGTTTTTTTGTTATTTACTCAGGAAAATTTTAGTAGCTCTTACATCTTTTTAGAAGTTTGCGGTAATGTCGGGTGTATAGAGAATGAGACCCGTTGTTTTTTTATTCAATTAAATTCAATATTCAACATTGAATATTTTGAAGATAGCCAAACTCCGCCTACATGTTTGAACGACATAAACATGCAGCAATAAAAGTTTAACTAGTGAACAGGTAGTCAGTAAAACTATTTTGATAGAAAACGTACACACATAGCAAAAGCACATAAAGCTATATGATGTTTAATATCTTGTTAACTGGTGACGCTCATACGATATAAATTTCATGTATTCTTACTCCAGACAATATTATAAAAGACAGACAGTAGAGACAATGTCGCGACGAGACGATACGATACGACATTATCATAACACCAACTCGTGGCAAATACATAAACAGAGCAGAACTTACTTTTCCATATTCCGTAACGATCAAGATCGTCCTTTGTTACCATAAACACCAACATGATGACGAAACCTGAAGCAAAAATGTCATTAGGAGATCTTTTCCAGGAATCTTGAACGAATTAGGGGATCAATTTTTAGGCAATAATACCTCAACAGAGTAAGCTTATATTGCTCAAATTCTTCGTCAAATGTATTCAGAATTTCTACAGCAATGCCAACTAGATTATTAGAATAATGAGATCTTGCAAGAACATTAACTTCAGAACGTTGCGTTGCTGACTTATAAATGTCTTGCCTATATCGTCGATTTGACTAAAGAACTTACCTTTGCAAAACTGGACACATTTGCTTTGGTTGCTTTGTATTTAAAAAACTGGTGCAATTGTACACATACATTCAACAAGAGGAAAAATCAGCTTCACGCGCGATTACTTAACGATTAACTACCTGAAACCGTTGTTTTCTCTCGGATTCACGGTTCAGTATGTTGTTCAACGCACATGGGAGCCTGGTATTCTTATGTCATAAGTTACCAATAGCAACAATAGACGCCTGCGCAGAACAGATAATGAGGCAGCGGGAGGGAATTCTCATCTAGGTAGACAATCATTGCCGCCAATTCAGAAGCCTAGGCAGGCACATGGAAGGGGTTTGTTAAGGTTTTCATGGAAGACTGCGAATGAAATGTGATAGCAATGGTGTCATGAAATTATGCATGGTTTTAAAAATAACAGTGAACTGTCTTTTCATAATAATCAAGGTACAATTAAGCACATTTGCCATCGGATAAAAACTGGAAAGAATCAGGAGGCAGTATTAAACCCTTTCTAAGCAAACAATACGGCTTACCTTAGACTTAAAACAAACTTAAATGCATCTCCAAAACCCTTAGTGGTGTTTTACCCTTTCCAGATATCTTTATGTTCAATTCACATAGAAGTTATGGTATATACCAAGCACAAATTGAATGTCTATATTCGGTTGCAGTGCAGTTGATTGACTTTGGTTACAGGTTTAGAATATCCTCGTGCAGTCCAATGAAAATCAAACAATTGCTCAGAGTTTTCAGCTTGAACAAGAGTCTGTTGTTAAATGATAAAGTGAACGGAATGAATGAACAGCGATTCGTTGATAGTGTCTACATTAAGAAAAATTATAGGAGTTTCCATGCATTCAGAACGCGTGCTGCTGCGTGAGAATTTGATAGTCTGAAGCTCGAGTTACCGTGGGAAACTTTTAAAGCACTAAACTCAACAGGCGAAAAGCTTATTTTATCCAGTCACGATTAGAGTATATCAAACGCTTGCTACGCCGAGAGATCATCAAAGATCTGACGCAGAAACACTGTCAAACAAAAGATATGCTTACATACTGTTAAAAGCAGTATCAAGCAACAAAATAACTAGAAACAGTAATAGGCAAGAAAATGCATTAAAATTGTTGATCAGCTAGAATCCTGCAAACTTACTTCGTTTCTCGGCAACTCAACAGCAGCTGAAGCTAGGCCATCATCAACAAAAAACCATAATTCATCCCAAGCACCCGCACTGACAAATTAAAACAACAATATTCGTCCGAACCACTTAATAATTTATGCCAACATCATAAATGATGGAAGAAGACAATTTTTGTTTATTGTGAAAGGATTCAACTGGAAAAAGAAGGCTCCTTTCATAACGGAGCATTGACGAGTGTTAGTTAAGAAGATAAAGATCATGAAACCTGTAATTCAATGCACCATTCATTGATTAAAGAAATAAAACAATTATTTGTCTATGAAAGATTTTCAAACATTTAAGGTATGACTTGTGGCATGATAATTCTCCCATTGGTCAATAGAGTAAATCTTAACCACAGAAGGAGTCGTCTCCCTTAAACAACATTTAATCCTGAACAAGATTTAACTCTTAAAGCTTTCCTCATGCCAGTGGCATTTAGGCTGAGACTTAAAGGAAGTTTGGCACAACGCTTTTCCTTTTCTGGAGTAACTTAACCAACCTCCATTGTATTGCTTTTGTTCTACATATAACGATGTATCTTTTTCAACAAATGTTAGGGCTGGTTGATAACATTATGGATATAGTGGCCATAAGAAACAAAATTGATGAAAAAGTGACTTTGATACGCTGTTTAATGTGGGAGGTAACAGTACCAAACTTGTCATTGGAATAGGGTTGAAGACCAAACGCCCCACCTCCTTCCCTAAGGACCAAGAGTATAATATGAAAACATCAAGAATAGCAGGAGAAACACGAAAAATAAGAATAAACAAGTTCTTGACAAGGAATGATGTCGGTTAAAGGAATCATGTTGAACCTTGGAAACGCAAGAAAAATCTAGTACAATATTCTAGACAATACTTTTTCGAGTTGACTTTTTCGGGGGATGGAGAATGTTCAACCAGAAGGCAGTTATGCTACCAAATGGAATTTGAATGCATTAAATTGACAACAAAGAGCTATTAATAAAAATTGGGATAAATAGATCTCAAATGTCAACCATTAAGGATAGTAAACAACGTCACTCCCACATCAGGTCAAGTAGGTTCTTTGTTTAAGGTGATAATATATGGCAAATGACAGCAGCATTCCAGAAGGCATTTGGGATGCCCATCATGGGATGCCCAAGCATTCAAAGAAAATACGATTCTGCCTTTACTGCAGTTGACAATGCTAACGTGACATCACATCTAGCGTTTCCCGAGTTAACCGAGGGCGAGATCAAAATGGCAGTTTCTCAATTGGCTAATCCGTATTCAACAAACCAAGGTCTCCGACTAAGGGGGACTGGGGGGGTCATGTAAAACAATTGAGCTTCACCCCATCCACATTTGCCAAGCTGTGTTGGAGCCCATGCAAACGGCAAACAATGATTCAAATTTGTCGACAATTCTCCCAGAGACTTTGGACGAAGTCATAAAGGGGACGGCGTTCCAACAAAACAAACACGTTTATATGGGTGTCAGTTTCAGCCAAGTGAAAGAAAAGTGGGTTTTACCGATAAACATGAGTTTATTAAGCTGCTCTCAGGCCACAAACCTCCCAAATACCCTTCGATATCGTCAACTCGAATAATGAAATTGACGTCAAACTAACCGAGCTAGCAGCTCTTAGTTTCACTCGCAATTATCGAACTGTGCTGTCATTGACAAACGATCACAGAAATGCAAGACAGACAACCTTGCAAAGATGAGTGGGATAAGATCTACACGGTTAATCTATGGTGAAGCAAATGAAATGATAGTGATACATCAGCTCCGTTAGTAATATCCTTAAGGTTAGCCAACACGAATAGAAAGTGAGACGTGGTTGAAAGGTAGAATTATCATTGAGGTAACATGGTTTATTGATGGATCGGGTTTGGGTTGGCAAGGGTTAGCGAACGTAACTCAATAATTGAAACAGTTGAGAGGGTTTGCAGCACGACCTTCCATTCAAAGAAGCGCAACTCAGTTAGGCCAAAATGGCTGCTCAAATTGCCAATGGTTCTAAAGTGATCCCTGTCACTTACATACCTGTCGCTTGCAGCTTTAAGAATGGAGGTCTAATGAAAACAAAAAAATGTGGCTGACAAACCTTCATGTACATCAACTCAAGCAAATTTATCACTGAAGAACGTCAGAAAGCATCTTGGGCTAGTAAATGTTTTTATTTAAAAACAGTGTCATTGAAGATAACGTTAAAATCGATTTGGAATCAACTAGCAAATTAAACACCTCTAGGGAAATATCATCACATTTTAATCGATCTTAATGATATTTTTTGACTGTTTTTTAACAGAATAACGTCGACAGGACATTCTCATGGCCATTATTTCCTACAAGAAAAGATGGGGACTGTATCTAAAAATGGAAGAAGATAATTATTTTTGGAAATTTAGCCCAAAGGTCTTCCTTGTAGTTTACTTTTAAGCTAACCTCGGCAGTGTCTGACGGAAATGATCTGGAATCAATTAAACATATTCGTCAAACTTAGGAAACTTCAAGGGGAATCTCAGCCTCGAGGAAGATCCTTTACTTGACTTGAATTCCCTGATATGATATCAGAGTTCTAAATACAACAATACTGTCTACCCTATGGGATAGGAAAGCATAAAGTGGGACGAAGAAATGTAGGGGCAAAAGTTTGTCATTTGTGAAGATTTAGTCATTTTTCACGGAACAAATTCTCGAATAAGTCGTTTTTACTCATACTTCAATTGAAAGCTTGTAAAAAAATTTTAAATAAAAAAAATCAGATTAACTACCAACAAACAAACAAATAAAATAGTTTAACATGATACTTCTGGTACTTGTCCGGTGAAAAGAAATCGAGGAAAGTACCTGTCTGGTAGCAATGAATCGAGAAAAATTTAGTCACTTGCGAAAATTAGAAACTTTCCCCTGATATTTTAGTCCCTGGTAAGGTATATTTGTTAGTGTGCAGCCACTTCAAATATTTCGACCTTCTACATGTAGGTTCCTTATAAAGTGGTTCCTTATAACAAAAAAAGCATGTATACCATATACATATACACTTTTGGTGTATAGAACAGGATGGTTCTAAGTTGCAACGCCGAGATTCACGCTTAACGCTCTCACATATACAGTTAGGTAAAGGTGCAAAAGTTTCCAAGTTGCGTTCTAACTACTAAAGACAACGTGTTCAGGCTCGAGCATACCAGTGATTTTTGATAACTGATTTTCGAATTCCTACATGACAGGATAAAAATATGAGACAAAAAACTTAACTTGATCATCAGCACTTAGGTATATCATTAAAATCAGAAGAGAGCTGTTAATTGATATTTTAGCAAAATATGTCTAAGAGAGAAATCAAAACAAGCGATTTTAAAGAAATACATGTAATATTTAATTTGTAAAGGAGTTGTCAAACAGTTAAGATACCCTTGGTACTTCTCTAGTAAAATCAGGGAACATTCCACACTTAAACATGTTTCAGAAAACAAAATAAGGCCAACAGGCTGATAGCATTTCTACGCATGCCAATTCTAGGTTGTGTCTACAAAGCAAGCTGTATTGGAATAAATTTTCGGCAAACCTAACATTTAGGAAACCATTATGACAAAGTTGTTATAACAAAAAGACATGAAGTTTTGTCACAAAATCATAATACATAAAAAACTTTAATATGAGTTTTCGTACAAAAAGAGTGAAAATGGTGTCGCTTTAATGGTGTGAAAAAGCCAGTGAAATGATGGTAGAGTTCGCAAAAAACCTCGACATAAGCCTTTCGAAATACCCATTCACATAGATAAAATTTTTGAGGAAAACAGTGCATTTTACAACGCAGCAGCTTCGTAGAAAAATGAGAAGGTACCATACCAGATATGTATGTAATGTCTTCCCTGGAAACCTGTAATTTCGCTTCATCAAATCGAAACACGATTAAAAAAAAGCAAGGCTTATGCGATCCGTTCTTTGCTCAACCACAGAACATTGCTGCATTCAATTGGATCAACAGACAGATTCGATGAAAAGTGGCTGCTCTCAAAGGTTCGTAAGCTTTTATTACAACTCAAAGAAACTGACACTGTGTTTATAAGGCGATTTTGGTTTTAAACCGTAGCTTTAATCATGGATTAGGTCAGACCACTGCATGACAATTTGATCTTGATTTTTGGCTCTGCAAAACAAAAGCCCAACAATGCAATTCCTTTAACTTCTAGAAATGTCTAAAATTCTTTTGAATGCCGACTTTGGTTAGGTTTTATTGCAACACTTATTTGAAGAATGTTCTTCTCTTAAATGCAGATCTTGGAGAAACACTTCGTTGCGCCACCAAGAAATCCTTTCCAGGCCTCTCACAAATTTCCAGAAAGCACAGAGTTAAGATCTGTAAACTGACACTTCAAAAGGACCTTGTGGGCATGTGTAGAAAAAAGGCAAGACCGCTTTGGTTACACGATGACCCCGAATGAAATAAAGGGGCGGTATGATGTATCTATGGACAACAAAAATTCGGCCCTTTCGTTAATAATAAAGTGGTTTTAGTGTTGTTAACCAAGTGAGTATATACAGCACTTAACGTACATAGAAACAAACTTGAAGATACTAGGGATAGGGAAAACATTGGGCGTTTGATCAATAAACAAGATGTGGTGGTCACAAAAGCTGAATTCGAATTCCATGTCTCCGCAGTTCATCCCCCAGCCATCCTTACCCATTTGAACGTCACGAAAAGCTCCACAACTACCACAGCATAAGGGTGCAATAACATTAGAATGCCTTAAGGAGTTAACCGTTAACCGGCCTTAATCCATCCAATAGCAACGTTTCTGCAATCATAAAATAGCTTTCCACGCAAGGCATACTCAACAGTTACTTGAATTCAGCTGGAAACGAGCGTAGAAAATCTTGAGAAATTCTGACCGGTGACAGAAAAGTCGTGACGTCATAACTCAGCTTCTTATGTATATGCAGCTGATAAAGTGTGAACACCCAACTTACGTCACAGCTGAGCTTCTTAAGTTATGCGTAGATGACAAATGTGTGTATGACTAACCAACTTGCAGGAGAAAAGAGAAATGGACAGTCTGCAATAGAATTTATCCATGTACACAGATACACTCATTTTTTTAAAAGAAACTGGCTATAAGAAATGAGTACTGGACAGTCAAATAAAAATTAAGCACTGTTGGCCTAGAACTTAAGACACAAGGGATAAAAATATACTTCCCACATCTAAATACAGCATCGGAACGGAAGCGAATCTCTTGGCGTGATAAAAAAGGTCACAAACATTTCATAACATCATTCATGACTTCATAATTAAGAAACTCTTAAGAAACATGACATTTATAGAGTATTAAACTACATCGAACTCAACATCGAACTCAACATCGAACTTTGTTTCTTATAAAAAAATGAGTGTATATATCATTGTTTTCCTGCGCCTGTTGTTTCAGTGAACATACCAAGAACGAGGGGCTTGAATTTCCAAAGTTAATACACACAAACACCCTCTGGAGCATGGTTATAACTTGCCAACCTCATTTGAGTAAGAAGTGTGCCCTTGCTGACATATTTACTAGTTAGTAAAACAATCAATAAAGCTTTACAGGTCGTGTCTGAATGGAATATTATAACTCACCGATTTCAGTAATAAAAAATATCGTTGCAAAGATGTCCTGCAGACCAGCAAAGTCGAAGGCAATTAATATCATCAAAATTCCAATCGCCAACCCTATCTTTCGATCAAGCCGCATTCTGCTCTGAGAAAATGAAAAGTAAGATCCATTATTGAAATTTCCCCTCTTCAAAATACATTGCAGTAAGGTGTTTTCCTACGAACTCATAAGTACGTTCGCGATAGTAAATCGAAACGACGAGCGACTCAATGATTCGAAACTTCGAACGGCGTCGCATTTGTCGAAATCAATTACAAAGGAAATAAAATTCGTTTTAATTAGAATTAATGGTATCAATGGTAGACGGAACATAGGGATGATAATTTGTGCGCATTTTGACAAATTTATGTCTGTTTTTGAGACAACAGTTACAATACTTATCGTTACTGCTTGGCTGTAAAGATGAGATATCAGAACCAATCAAAATTAAATGGTCTTACCTTTAAGGGAAATATGGGTAAATGCTTAATTGAGAAATGACTTGGCTTTCAAGAAGGTCCGTGTTCATTAGAGTTAATCTGTGATGGATAGAAAGGCTGGGCATTGCTGAAAAATGATAAAGGCACATGGATACGCACCTGTTGAGGTTTATAGAGATGGGAAGAGTTTTTAAGTTTTGTACGAAAAGCTTTTAAAACATTTATTAAGTAACGAAAATATAGTTAGCAAATAGATTTAGCACCAGAATGAAAATGTAATAGTTTGATTGTTAAAAAGACTTTTGTGTTTTCACATTTGTAATTGTTAAAAACACTTTTCTGGATGAAGTACCACATGCAACGTACATATCAAGTTGGATTTATTAAGTGAACTTTTCTGAATGATATATTTTATCATAAACCGATATGAGTGATAAATATAAAAATAAGATAGACGAAAGCTCCGCAGGTTGAATTACTTTCTTGTCCTTGTTCATGTTATGAAAGGATGACACATTGATTGCACACGTCGTGCTTGTTTCTACTCTAGGGATCTATTGTCAGGTCTCTGCAATCAAACACCTTTTCCTGAATTTCCCCATACCACATGACGCAGCCTGAATACGTGCTGTTGTATCCATATCTCTGGTGTTGTAGCAGTCGAGATACTTGAAGCGGTCTAATCTCTGGAACTTTTTCCCGTCAATATAAAAATCACTTTCTTTAATGGTCACTAAATTGTAAAACCATGTTCCAAAGATTCATAAATTCCTCATTTGATTTTGAATGATCAAATGTGAATTCAGAATTAACGAGATGATAATGACAACATTCCAGACAAAATTGATATAAATATATACGAGATAACAGTGCTCAAATTCGTTCTGAAGAATTAACGAATCGAATGAGCCAAATATATTTAGATCCAAACATAAATATCTAAATTAATTATTTCATTTTATTTTTATTTCATTTTATTTCATTTTATATTAGTTTTTCTTTTAGCTTAGATGCATGGCAGCTTGTGAACCAGCATTGTTGAATGTGCTACGATGCTTAAATAATTGGAAATGAAATAAAAAGGAAAATACCAATGCTGCCCCGAAGCAAATATTCCGCAGTTTCTGCTCGATAGAATTAGCCAATCAATAGCCAAGAGCATAACGGGGATTCCGTTAACAGCCAATCAAAATCTTAGCGATTAGCAAGTTTTCCCATCAGCCTTTTAACTGTAATCGCCCGACCATAACACCACACACCAATTTCCTTGTCAGTTACTGCGCACAAATATACTATTTCTCGAGTTCTTTAAATCACATTTAGCACTTCTTGGATTAAGGTAGTTCAGGTGAGAAAACAAAACAACGTTAATAGCTTGAAAAGTGATTATTTGATAAAATTTTTTCTTCGTTTACTAAGACTTGATTAATTATCTTAAAACTATGTCTTCACCTTAAAATGTTCTAAAAACGTCTTCTTTAAAATCCAATAAATACAAATAAATATATGTGACAATTTATATTTCACTTTTGGCGATCCGTAAATCCACTTGGAAAACTCTTTTATCTAACACACATTTTACTGATTTTTCACAAGTAGCATTTGATAAGATTGTATAATATACGGCACTTGTGCTTGGGTAGATTCATTATTCTGGTACGGTTTAACAAATGGCCTATCGCTCTTTTGCCACTAAGGAATTGGGTGCTTCTGCACATGACAAAAGCCAGGTTTTTGCTATGATTGATCGATTGTTCGTTGACATGCTTATTATCACAATTACACAAACTACTAGGTTTCATCTTGACGATACATGACGACAGAACACAAAATCATAACCCAAACCCCCCCTCCCCCCTCCCAAGTAAACGCCGTCTTATTCATCTAGCAATCAGGTTGCATTCTTTATATCCCACAATAATGTTGAGTTTGTTGGCTTAACTTTGATTTAAAAAAGGGCGAATTCCGATTATCCTGACTGATATTCTATTCAGTTTAGTTATCAGGCTAGATTGATCAATAGCTAATCATCTGGACACCAAAATTACGATACATTTCATGGCATGTTTCAAAAACATATTTCATCACATGCTTTAAAAACACATGTCATCACATGGTTTGAAAACACCTTTCTTCGCATACTTTAAAAACATACTTCTTCAATGTTTCAAAAACAAATTTCATCGCATGTTATAAAAATACGTTTCATCGCATGTTTAAAAAACATATTTCATCGCATGTTTCAAAAACACATTTAATCACATGTTCGAAAAACATATTTCATCGCATGTTTCAAAAACACATTTAATCACATGTTTCAAAAACATATTTCATCGCATGTTTCAAAAACACATTTAATCACATGTTTCAAAAACATATTTCATCGCATGTTTCAAAAACACATTTAATCACATGTTCCAAAAACATATTTCATCGCATGTTTCAAAAACACATTTAATCACATGTTCCAGAAACATATTCCATCGCATGTTTCAAAAACGTTTCTCTGAAGCCCGGCTATAAGCAACAATTAACTTTATACAGTATAAGAATGAATTGATATGTATGTATATTTGTTCTTTTTTATACTTTAATCAAGACCTAAATTGATATATCTATTTGATAAAAACATTTGTAAAATATACCCTGTTGTATTTAAAAACAAAAGAAGTCAAAATCATTGAATTCCATCTGTAAAAATGTCTACAAGTTTAAGAGACTACTAGGCTTTAAATCTTATCTTCAATTTCATTTCAAAGTTTATTTATAAAACATTATGCCTTTCTTCGATCATATTTGATGGCCTAAGATCAATTTTAAGCTTATCTTTTGGAAATTAGACGAACAAATTTAGTTGGGATACTTTTTTAGTTTAAAAATTAGGGCAATCATAGTTATAAATTTGATTTTATACAAAATGTTGGGATTCAAAAACGGTTTGACTTCTAATGCAGAGATTTATATACGTTTAATATAACTTTCTATTTTCCATATACTTATTTATCCCTAGCTTTTGTTTATTAAATTATTTACATTTGATTTAGGATCTGGTGATAGAGAACTCCATGTAGTTCGATGGCAGAGTTCTATATCAGGTAATTGATTCAGCTTATCTCCAACCGTACAGACAGCTTTAATATCCCAAGTCCTTGCAACAAGTATATCGATCCAACTATCGAGTACCCTCCCTGTACTGTGTGAGTATTGTGAAAACTCTTTTACTCTGCTTTCTGTGTCATTAGCGTCCCGATCAAAGTCAATGATATAATCATTCGTATACAAACTAGCAGCAGGCCCATTATTTAGCTCGACTGAATTCTCTAGATCTACTGCTTTACCTTTGGTATATGCTAATGGAACAACCAGGAAGGTTGTCTGACCAAGAACAATATTATCTCCATGCACAATCTTTACTTTCCAAACGCCAGGCCTAAGTGGTTTTTTGAAAGTCGGTTTGTGAAAGGATATCACCCAATTCTCCTCAACTTTCATCTGGTAAATTCCTAAGGTAGAAAAACGGAGGATAAATATGCCATCTTTGAAACTAATTTACCTTCTGTAACGCTTTGGTGTGCTTAGGAAAATCAAGACACATTCCCATCCTACACGCATCAGAACAAAGAACACTGGGAAAAAGTTACAAGGTTATTTACTAACAGAATATTTACACATTTACCCTATTATCTAAGATACTAGAACCCCTCAATTAACAGCACAAATGGGCCAGAAACCGAATAACAGCACAGTTAGCTGATAGCGTTACCAAAACTCAACATGACAAAAGGGGTGGTGCACCTTTTTCAAATTCAGCCATTAAAGGATTTTTAAGAAGAGCTAAAAGCAACAGGAAATACCCTGTTTTTGGTGAATCATTTTTAGATTCACCCTCCCGCTTTAAAAAAATCGCCTTAATCTTAGTTGACAGTAAATGAGCTAGTATCCTAGATCATGGGGTAAAATTCGTTAAAAATACTTAGATAAAGAGAAATCTCTACAAATTGGACACCTACTGAACAGAGTTAATACCTGTTGTAAAGACACGAACTACAGGAGAGAAAATTTTGGGACAAAGTCATTTGTCGTTAGGCGGTTCTAGTTAATGGAAGCTTCGCTGGATAAAAATCTTGGAGAAGAGGCATTCTATTAGACTAGCATTTTGACACTTTTCATTACGAAAGTTGATTTGTCATTGTAACAAAAGTTGGTTTTAATCGTATATCAAAGCCAAACGGGATTCCCAGCATTTGAACGTCGTCTGTTTAGACTGCCATAGCATCGAGCTAAGTAAAGGTTTCATAGAAAAACATCTGCTCCAGCGTGAAAATTTACTTAAAAGCCGAAATTTTTCTGAAGTGCTATTTTGGCAAAAATATATTTAACTTTGTTATGACGTTTTATGTGACTCTTTTTAGACCAGTAACAATGGCATTAATGGCTAATCCGCCAGTAACAGCGGCATTAATCTCTTTGGACCAGTAACAGCGGCACTAATGGCTAATCAAAAATATTAGGCCAAAATGCAACAATTCTGATACATGAATGCTAAACCAATAAACCAAAGACTTGAAAAAGAGCAACTCACCCGCGATGACATTGATGGGGTCAATCCAAACAATTCTGACATAAAACACTTTGCCATGTGCCCATCTATGTACCAAAGTTGGAGTATCTGTAGCCCCGATCATCCCAGCAAAATTTCGGAAGACTCTCTCCTTTTGATCCCAATTAGTACCAATCTATAACCACAGATTGCAATGTTCATAGATTCTTCGTATGATGCAAAATAAGCCCAGTCGGGACATACAAAGTTTCTACATCGTATAATTTGTTATCCATTCAAAGCAAAAATACAGTCAACTCAGTGTAACTTAAATATCTAGGGGGGAGGGGGGCAAAAAATTCGAAAAATCTTGGATTTTGCCTCTGTGATTACTAAACCTATACGTTGCCTCTGTTTATCCATAAATATAAATGAGACGTACATACCTCAAGCCCTTTTAATCTGTTTCCAGGCTCTGACATATTGCGGTTAAAGAGAACAGACGAATTAATCTTCTTGGCCCATGTTTCAAAAACAGCAAGCTCCTTTCCACCATTATTTCCAACAATCTTGACATCAAATTTTACTAAAACGCCATCAAGTCTGTCTTTGTGCATAAAATAATGTGCTTCCTTCGCCTTCCAGATTGGTGAAACTAAGCTGTTATATTGAACTGACAACCGCTTTGTTATTTGTCTTGCAAAAGATTGGTAGAATGTCATTTGCACATCATATTTGTTGATATCATCATCCTTTTCATTGTAGCAATTCTCCCAATAGCTTTGTAAGCCTAGCATATCTTTTGGTCTTTCACCAAACAGCCAATCATCCATCATGTTTATAATTCCTTGGTTAACAATTGCTTCAAATTTTCGAGCAAAAGCATTGAATGTTTGACTCTGAGAAAAAAACACACTTCTATAGTACATCATAATAAAAACATACATGGAATTCATACATATATGTTATAATGGAATTTGATGACATTTTTCAGCAAGACAAATCAATGTACAAAAGTCTTGGTACACTAACTTCAGTTTTCAAGGCAACATTCAGTCATCCCTCTCCCCCCTCATTGAACAAAGCTGATTTACTACAAAACAACGTAGTGGATAAGGAAGTATGTTTTTTTCTAGGACGACGTGTACGAAATTTGTCCCAACTATCAACATTGCTTGGGGGGCGAGTACGGAAGTGTTCGGGAAAAGAATTTAAAAACTATGCACCTGATTTTGGGAGGGGGGATGGTTGACCACAATTTATCTAAGAGACAAGAACCTTTTTATGAAAAGGGCTACTGATCTCAACATTAATAGTACAAAATTTGATACAAATAACTCAATTTCTGAAAAAGCTCATTCAGCCAATTCGAGAAGTGAAACTTAAAATTTGAAAAAAACCTTAAAAACTACACGTAAGTTTTAAAAGCATGCAACTCTGCAGATCTTAGGTTGAAAATACAGACCTAACCCAAGAATAAATCAACTAGACTTACAGTGAAAAAAATAACGAAACCTTGAGAAACTTTAACTCAAAATATAGCTATCTATAAAATTTTTGAACTTGCTCTATTTAGTGCCAAAGGTCTTAGGAAATGGTTCCTCATTCCCAATCAAAGTAAGCCTGATGTTGAAAAAAATGAAAGAATTGACAAGAGTATGTTGGGTTGCCTCACCTGTAACCTTGGAAAATCTTCTGGCTTGAAATCATTTGGTGAACATCCACACCAATCAACAACATGTTTATGCTGACAGCGACATCCAAGCTTTCTTTTCCAATTTGTCAGTCTCAGATTGCTTTTTACAAACGTTTGACAGTGGGGACTGTTTCTCAACACAGTGTGAAAGAATGACTGAAAACAAAATAAAATCAGACAGTCCATAACTAAACAATACTTCCATCCATTTCTTTCTTACAACCAAACTTTTTCATTATGAAACGAATACGTCCAATGGCAAAATTATAAGACATACAATTTTAAGTTAAATCTTTATCTAAACAACAATACAAAATATACAAATGAAAAGTCTATAACTTCACTTTCAAGATAGTACATTAATAAATAGATATTTATTAAAGAAAAATTTTGAAAACTTGGCTGCAGATGTTAAAATGAAAAAATACAAATTATATATGTAAAAAACACATCTGAGCCAAAATTTTAATAGTGTCATGATTAAAATCAGTTCTAGTCATTGGAAAGAACTAAAGGGAATCCAGTCATTCTAAAAGTTTTAAAAGTCTTTACCTCAGCTGGAAGCAAAGCATATTTATAAATGTTCTTTAAACTGGTGACAACAATGTCCTGACTGTGCACTACATAATCACAAAAGTTTTTATTTAGTGCTATCCAGTCACTTCCACCATCAAAATCAATTGTTGTAGGTAACTTCCTGTCCCCTATCCTCCACATGTGTTCATCACATTCATAGAATGTCCTGTCAATCCCTTGCTTTTTAATGAACCTGAAAAAATATGAGGAGTGGCTATATGTTTCTGTTATGTTTTTTCAAATCAAAAACATTAAAAAATTACCACTTGCCAAAATATATGGGATACACTCCCTACAAGGGTATAGCTAGCATGAATAATAAAAAGGAAATTATTTTGCTTAGGTAGCTCGGTACTTTTATAAACCATAATAAAAAAAGACACACATACACGATCAACAAATTTTTTTCTTAGAATTTTGGCTGCCCTTTGACAGCCTCCTCAATAAGAATTGCACATTGTTTTTTTTTATCGTGTATGCGTGTTTTTTTAATTATGGTTTGTAAATATACAGAGCTACCTAAGTATAATTTGTCATACAACACACGGGATCTCTTAAAATCCTTGGCCCAAAAAAGCCAGTGACCGAAAATATGAAATTATTTTGTATCTGAGATAAAAGCATCGAGGGCAGCATGTCAAATTAAAAACATTTCAAATTACTCATGACAAATGCATAAACGTGGAGTTTCAGGAAATATTTGTTTTAGTAAATAAACAACTTGCTGGGACAAGTAAGAGCTGCAAACTCAAATTCTTACAATATCATTTCTTAGTAAAAATGCCCTTATGTCTATGTTGGTTCAGCTGAAGTGGAGGTGTTAATAACAAAGAGACAAAGAGTCTTAGTTGCCGCTAACTCTATAATAGCACTTTATAGAACTCTAAAACAGTATTTTTTAAGATTTGACTATGAGATAAATCTCATATGATACAATAATTTGGTTGCATATGAAACAGGTCTTAACAATGCATGTTATTCATAAACATTTGCTTGGGAATAAAAGTGTGCGAAATAACAGTTCAACAATTTTTTTAAATCATTGGGCAAGCAAGGCCATCTTTTTACTTTGGAGTTTTGAAATCTGTCTGTGATTTTCTGCTTACTTTCATGGTCATAATATAATGTTTCATACTCGGCAAATTATTTATTCACAAAGTTTGATAATATTTATCCATACAATGCTATATTTTAGGCCTCATTCACACAATACTTGATTAATTTTGTATCAGAGTCAGTGACCCAATCCTATGTGAATATTTAACTTTGTTCGCATGATACCAAATTCATTTTGATGGAATTCACTTCTGTTCACACTGTGACACTACGCTTTTACAGTGCTGCAAAAAATATATTGTCCTTAAGCAGTTGCATAGTTGCATGTTGTAAGTGTTCTGCTGAGAAAAAGTAGAAAGTTCTATATGAAAGACATGATTCTAACTATCAGATGCAATTAAAAATAATATGTAGTTTCTGGCGGCTTCACCCCCTGATCCACCCAGTGGCATCTCCCCTTGATCCACTGGGGCCCTGGTTGGGCCCTACACCCCAGGCAGCATACCCACTTAAACAACTCATGCTACACAACTGACACATACCAATAGATAACCAATTATATTGAGACTTTTCGTTGCTAGGCATTCCATAAAATTATCCCTTTGGATACAGCTCAGTTTCAATGAAAATCCAAATAAGAATTCAGTTAATTCCCTTTAATCGAATGCAGCTTTTATTATCTGTACATGCAGTACTATCATTCACCTTTCAACTGGTCCTCCATGAGGTTTTAAAAAATTCTCATTTCTGTGTCCCCTAAGAAACTTGGTAAGCTTTGCATTTGTCCTATAAAAAGGTGGAAGTAAGTAAAAATAAACAAAGATGCCAGAACAGGTGGTAAACAAAAGAACTCAAAATGTTTACTGAAAGAAAATATATAATATAATGATAGCTTAATTGAAATTGCAGGAGACTTTTATGCTCCTCTAGCAAATCCATGACAACAAAACTATACTAGAAATATTTCATTTAAACAAAAAATCAATGCCATGTTACAATGCTGTGTTCTTTAGAAGTACATTCATTAAAATATTTTTTATTTGATTTATAATTAACAATAGGAAGCAAGGCACACAAAACAACAAACTAGTTACCAGTGTATGACAGAAAAATTTAACAATCAGAATAAAGAATATTTCAAAACACAAATTGTTGCTGTGGTATTCAACCAAATGAAAAAATATCAATTTCCCATGAAGGTTTCCATACTTACTGGACAGGATAGTCTGATTCACTAAGATTGATAAAAAAATCCCATTTCCATTCCTTCTTTTTTAACAAATCGTCCATACATGTCAAAAGCATTTTTAATAAACTTGCTCCTCCCCAAATTGTTGCCATTCTCCATGGTGCTAAAGCAACATTTGGGAATTTTTTTATGAACTCTTTTACTTCTCTGTGTAAATAGTGTGATCTCTGTGAAATAAAGCAATAAATAGCAATCAATGAAGAAAGTAAAATATAATTTAAGGAGGAAAAAAATTCATATTGTGCTTTTTATTTACACATGGAAATAAAACCCACATGCTTTAAAAGCAACAAGCTCTTGAGAACCTTTTAGCAATGCTAAAAAACATCAAGATTTCACCTGCTCAACAAAACTTAAGCTATCAATATTTTGCATACTGGTTTTATAACATTTGATTTCTAAATACAACAAATAGCAAAATTTTATGAATCTTGTATTAATTGAAAAAATAATATAAATTTTCGCATGGAAATTAACTTAGGGCTAGGCTAGACCTAATAAAGACCGTGATGCAAAAGCTAATGAAATTTCAAGGTTCACTAAACTATCTAACCAAGCATTGATAAAATACCATTAGCAACAAACTGTGGAAAATGTTTATGAAAATGCATTTCAAATCATTAAACACACATACCGAGTCAACATGGAAGTAGAAGTAATGATGTGGATGATAAATTGCTTTAAAAAGTCTTTTTAGTTGTCTGAATGCTCTGCCGTGAACACTTAGAACGTACACAATCCTTATTGGTGGGCCATACTCGTAGCCATACCCAACTGAATGTGCCGGTCTGCCAAGTGATCTATCAAGAGGGCAAAGTCTTGTGATATTTTCCACATCTAATTTTCCACTTTCCAGTAAACATGCAACCTTGGCTAGTTCATTTTTGCATTGTGAACTCTTCGCTCTTTTTATGGCCGACTGGGCATCTTTGTGTTTAATATCGCACTCAAAAGTTATTGTTTCTGCTTCTATCGTTTCAGGCTTTGGAATCTAACCGGAAAACAATATTATAAAATTAAAGCGAATTCGATAATTCTGTTTAGTAAAATCATGATAAAACGCACACGCGATATATCAAGTCTATCCTTATCAGTTTTACAAACATTTTATCATAGTCATAAAAATCAATGTTCAAAACATTACGTTAAATTGGGACACATACCTAAGAACTATAATAAAGATGGGAGGAAAAGCTAGCTACTCGAGTGACTGTAAAACTTTAATTAACTAATATTCTTGAAGCATTCTATAATATGGATTTAATATAGCGGAATCCAACAAGTTAATTTCTCTGACCAAATAAGTTTGCGGTAATAATTCCCGCAGTCGTTTCGGTTAGTTTAAAATAAATAATTACAGCTTTAATCAGTCAAAGGCATTCTTGACATTACCTGGAGTTTTTCTGATGGTAACCCACCAAATATTTCAACCGCTTCATGAATCTGTTTTCTACGTGGGCCTAAAGCATCTCGATACGTCCTTTCAGGAACACTTTTTCTGAATTTCATATTTATATCATTTGAGTGTAAACTTGAGAAATGCAGCATAGTGATTATCTGCACGGCAACAATTAACCCTGCAATGCCAAGAATTAGTTTTACGATGCCAATTCTTTGCGCCATGCTTTCTCTCGCAGCTTAATTCCAACATGTCCACAACATTACAAACATTCGATCAAGAAGTCTCGGTCTAGAACAGGTCCCACATTTCTCCCGGCCAATCAGCGTTCTCTCCGTTTCTCGGAATCACACAGTTGTTGTTGGTCGACCATCACCAGTCCGGGGGTTTCCCCTCACAAAAAGTCCACCTCCTCGAAATAACTCTCTTAAGTGTCCCTAGATAAGAAGAACCACAAATTTTTTTCCAGTTTGTTCCCAATTTCTTTAATTCCTTATTCTAAATAACCAGATCTACCTTTCTTTTTCTTTTTTTACCCATATTACTCTCAACCTACTTTAGAAACAGAATGAATCGCTTTTATATTTTTTCTTTGTTTTTTCTACTTTCCATTTCAAAAATTTCCATGCCACTGTTCCTGCACTTAATCTTTGCTTCGGTTAATTAGTAGTTAGTGCACCCTTCAACTTGATAGCTTCCTTTGGAGTTTTTTCTAAACAACAAGTAACACATTAGAATTTTTAAAATAACACTAATTGCTATCAAGATGTAAGAATTGTTATGTGAAATTTTACTTCATGTTTATGTATTTAAACTTTAAATTGCTTCTTGTTGCTTGAATGAAAGAGATGGAAGTGGTTGCCTCTCTAGCCCCTGTGAACAGGGAGGGCAAAACCAGGTGCGCAAATGCAAATTTTTTTAAGGGGGGTGTTCTTTGAAGGGACCGAGTTTTCGCCACGACAGACCGATTTTTGCGATGTAGATATTGTCGGGGATAACAAATTTACCTGATTGAAATATGATTGCCTGAAATTATATAGTTGCTTTCACGAACCTCTGCAATATATTTTGTGAATCTAACTCTGTATATAATTAGCAATTATTTTTATACGATATGAGCCGACTTTCCTAATAGTTTTGTCAAATCTCTATATCGGAACGGGTAAAGGATATAGTTACTACCCGAGGCGGCACCTTGGTTGCCGCCGAAGGAGAAGGAAATTTTCGAATTTTGATGCTTCCAGTTCCCTGGAAAATGCACTTTTTAAGCAAATTTAACTAAAGCAGTCCTCCTAACCCTATTGAAAATTTTTTCTTACAAAAAAATTGAACAGCAGTTAGAAACAACTGGTATTTTCGCTATGGTCTTGAAAAATACCATGTTGTCAATTTAGATCACTCTTTCCATCTTAGCATGCCTTTTGAATGTTCAAAAAATCTGGATTTCATTGTGAATTGCAGGTCGAGAAACTTTAGGGGAAATGGAAATAAAGCACAATTTTACCTAAAGAGGGCCTGGATTTTTAGATTTAATGCCAACAAGAATATCATATTTAATTTAACCAACGGAGCAACTACCTTTGCTTGATCCTTTATTGATATTATGACAGGAAGGTCTCTGAAATACCTTGGCGTCAACTTCTAGTTTTTTTTCCAAAGCAGCGCTGGTTGGGACCGGACTGGACCGATTCTGTCCTCTGTCATTTTTCGGTGATCAGCCCTTCCTAAAAAATGCGCCCACTATATGCCTTACTTTACTGCAATACAGCATGGTACCAGCAAAATTGGGACCAGCTTTGGGTGTGATAGACAGAAATACTAAGCAGATGGGTAGATCGGGACAGACTTTATTGCTATCAACTTTCAACTGGGACCGGGTGGTGAAATTATTGGGGGGGGGGGGTGTGACACCCCCCCTAATTTGCGCCCCTGGGCAAAACGAATAAAAAGTGCACAAACATTCTTTCTCTGAATCATCAGCATGTGCCACAATGGTACTACTTTCATTGTAATTCGAGCATTTAAAAAAAGAAAAAAAAGCATTGCACTAACTTATTTCTTATAATTTGCATTGCAAGTGGATTTGGCTCGGGTAGGCGACAACACATATCCTTCCCCCATACTTGTGACAGGCGCATTGAACTAAACAAATGTTCAGATCTATTGCAACAAACCAATAAATCCACATTGATGCAATCATACATACAAAATTAGCTAGATGTAAGGAACTGAAAGGAATTTTTGGATTTTAGTCTCTATCTACTTCAAAGCGAATTCCAGTGCGAATTCCAGTCCCTATCTCTTTCAAAGTTTCATATGATTATCTAAAACCCCGAATGACGACTTTAATTTTCTTATTTTTACATTTAAGCAATTTAGCCCCCCCCCTGGTTTTCGTGCCTTCCTATCCCTACGTCACTTGAAACACATTACTTTTCGCCTCCATGAAATATTTCTTAAAAGCTAAAAAAATTGCCCGCACCTTTGGCCGATTATGTGAAGACGATTCAATGACTCGTTGCTAACAATGGGCCTTTGCGAGCGTGGCGACGATCCAAACAATGGCAGTAAACTTCTACGGATTAACCAAAATTGATTTCAGACTGTCTAAAAATGCATTATGGGATGCTTGCATAGCGCAATGGCTCATTGTTAGCAACGAGTCTTTAAATCGTCTTCACATAATCGGCCAAAGGTGCGGGCACGTTTTTCACCGACATAGCAAAATCAATTTGCAACGTTGATAAGGTTTACCTCATCAGTCTTTTCTTTGTATATTGAAAAAATCATGAAGTGGTTAAATCGTCCTTGGGTCAATGATAAACGAAGCAATCCTTTAACTCTCCTTAGACTTAAACTGACCTTTCACTAATGCGTTTGTTGGTAAAGACATACACTCTTTTTTATAAGAACAATTTTATAAGAACACGAGCCTCAAAACTGGTCAAAAGTTAAGAACAAATTAAGAACAAGCTGAGACTGAGCTTCTGCAAAATGCAATTTTGAACAACGTTTTTTTTCAAAATTGAGGTTTTCTAGCGATATGTGGGTGCTTTTTCGGTGAATATTCAAATTTTTCAGCAAATGAAGGTTGTCTCACTCACTTTGTTGGCAAATGAGGCCTGAACACCTCCTTAGAGCGAAAGAGTTAGCACTCGCCCTGCTTACACCCTCTTAATTTAAGAGCAAATTAAGAACAATCCAGCCTCAGGTTTTCGAAAAAATTAAGAACAGTCAGCCTGAACTTAAATCTACTGGTTCTTATAAAAAAGAGTGTACTACAATTAGTAGGGGAATTTTTCTCGCCAAACTGACAGTCTGCTTTATCTTGTTTATCAAAGAAGATTGGGCTTTTTGCATCATAACCAAACAAGAAATTTCAGTGAATAGTTCTCCAACAACGCCTAGATTTAAGTTATTTCACTCAGCTTCTACAGGCAGAATATCTGGCAGTGAAAAAATACACGCAATATGTTTTTCGCATGTCTATCCCTGATTATTGTTCTCTATCTATAGGAACAAAAGACTTGCCCCATCATAATAAATTTTTCCACAAAGGTCTAATTGCTTGTAATTGAGAATGTGTAAGATCTTCACATCTTAACATGGCGTATTATGAGATATTGAGGGATTGACCTAAAAAGTGAAAGGAAGTCCTGTAATTTCAATGGATTAATTTGTAATTGGGCAAAGGCCACAAACTTGACCCTACTTTGGTATTTGCAAACAGCATCACAAAACACACACTTTCACGCGGGATCTTAACTTTGAGGCATTTAAATGCCATCAGAATAGGCAAGCAAGGAAAAAGCAAATTACAGGATGGAAAACACTGTGGGTTTGGGGTCAACTTTTATGCCATGTTTTTTCACTTTGTTACTGCCCCAGCATCTCCGCAATTCCTTGTGCCTCTGGCCTTCCTAAACTGCAAATGACAGTAGCCTGCATGCAAACTCAACTTGTTTTCCATTAGACGAGTTTAGTTACATGAAATTACGTTTAGTAGAAACAACTAAACTTAGTTTCAGGTATCTAAACTTGTCTGTTGGCTTGTAAAATAATTGAAGACTTGTAAAATCAACTAAACTTAGTTTCAGGTAACTAAACTCGTCTGTTGGAAAACCAGTCAAGTCTGCATACAGGCTAAAATGACAGGCTCTGAAAGTGCAAAAACAGATGAGCAAACAAAAAATCAAAATGTTGAAAATACTGGGGCATGTTTTCAAATAATTGAAGACTTGTCCCTTAATAATCTAATATATTTCATATGTCTGAAAAAAATTTTCCATTGAAAAGTAGCTTAAATACATACAGATCAAAGTTCTACTTATTTACACGGTGTTTTACAATTGCTTCTTATGCTTACCAATTACAATTTACTTAATCAAGTGGCTAGGGTACAAGAACTAAATCTACAAGCGTTTTAGAGCACGTTTTTTATCAACTTTCCTCTTTTTTGCATCTTCTGCTGGTCTTTTCTTTGATGGCCCTATATCTACAGGCGTTTCATCCTTCTGCTTGTTTTCTTGGTTACTTTTTTGCCGCAAAGCATAAATTTCAGTCATCATTTTTGCCTGACGCGAATAGTCATCATAATGGTCAAGTAAAAGTTTTCCCGCTTCTTCATTTAATGCTGATGCCGGATTCGGTACTATTAGTAAACATTTAACTGTCTGTAAAAGAGAAAAAGGAACAGGTAAAAAGATTAAAAAAACTTACACTGAAAAGAGAAAAGTAAGTGGTTTGAATTTAAATGTCATATTGATAGTTCAAATAGGGACATAGGGACAGTTTACCTATGCCACAAATATAGCTTTAAAATAATCATTGAACTTATGATACATTGTAAATCTATAAATAAGTAATTCCCTACAAAAGAGTATTCTTCTCAAATGGGCGTCTATCTGCCTACAAGAATAAAAAATTAATGGGAGATTTCAGGTTTCTTAATAAAACAATGCCCCAAGAGGACTTTGTTGCAGTCTAACAACAAAACTTTAAACAAGTCACTCTTGCTTAGTACATATTTTCAAACATAAAGTAGATACTTCAATCCACAACTGGGTAAAATATTTTCCATTTTGTGCTTTCAGACCCTTATTCCCACATTATATATTCTGAGGAATGACAGACAAATAAACTTTTAGTATATTGTAAAATGATTGTTTTTTCGAAGCCATTTATACATATTCATACAAGTTTTCACTAGTCGCTTACCAGTAAAATGTGTTTAATTCCAAGTTCTGATTTCCAATCCTTTTTCAGAGTATTGACACAAATTGCTCCATTTGCAGCGACATTGGGATGAAATATTTTTGTAATAAAGAAGCCTGTAGAGAGATGAGAAAACTTTAAATAAAGTTGTGTTTTATAGTCTAGATGTAAGCTGTTGGGTCATGTGGAAGGCTTCAAGATAATGCTGTTCTGTTGATGATTGTGGATAGGTTGAATCCACCAAAGAAAGGGTTCTTTCAGCCTGGTCATTTGATTTTTTTTCGTGATTAAGCTCACATGAGCAACTGAGGCGAGCGATTCCCACCTCACCTACAAAAATACAAACATCCATGCCAGGACAGAGATGTTTGTATTTGACAGCACAGGTTCACAAACAGCGCAAATTGCTCAAAACAAATGGTTTAAGAATAATTCAGACTTGGCAGGATTTGCATTAGCATTACAATTGATGTGTCTACCATTTTTGGTAAACAAAATGTTGCATAATGAAGATTGGTAAACAAAATCCCTTTTACATGCAAGGTTAGTTTTTTAAAAGCTTGCTCAGTGGAATAAATCACACAATATTTCATGCAGCATGGTAATCTTTGGTGGCTTTTTAAAAACAGGTTATTCGTAATATTGAAACCAAAATTGCTTTCTAAGTTTATGAAAAAATTGAAACAATGCTACTGGACTCCAATGAGGCAATCAAACTTTTGATGTTCCCGCTATGATAAAAAGGTCTGTCAAATTTTAAACCAGAAGATTAAATAAATGAATCTCAAATGGAAACCAAGCTTAAATAAATGCTTTAACCACCTGGGCAACTTTACAAGAGCAGAGTATCATTATCAAGTATATGACTATACATACCTGCAGGAGGGGCAGTAGGAAAGTCTTTACCAAGAACTAATTTCATTTTGAATAAACCACCTTCATATGGAGTTCCAGCTGAAAATAAAATATGCCAATTAAGGCTTCCAGAACAAAACACATTCTAGAGCAAAAATGAAAATGAGATATGTTTGTAAAAGATTATGACAATTGATTATGCAAAAAGGTTTCAGGAAAGATATGTGGGAAGGTTTTTACAAATGTGCCAAATTAAGGTATTAAACTAAACAATGTACATATAACTTTGTCAAAATAAAATTTCTTAATTTTGGTGTTTTGTCTTGCACAGTTTTAATGAATTTGCAATACAAATTTCAATTTGACGGCCTTGTAATAATGTTGGCTTGAATATTATCAGTTAAAACCCTTTTCAATTTTTTGTGACCAATCAATAGTCCATCATTCAAAAAAGAACATTTGTGTTGCCTGTGTGTCTTATATTTATATTATTACAAGCACTATATGAAAGGCCAATAAACAATAACACTGATTATATATTTATCTATAATTAAATCCAATAACACGAAAAAGCAGCTTACCTGGGCCTTCTATTAAAGCTTGAATGTCAGTCAGGTCAGAATCATTTACAATAACTTTTATTCCTTCTGGTGGGTCTTTTTGTAATTTCTGTAATTCTTTAGCAACTTGTTTGAGAGCATGAGGTGAGATGTTTTCTGCATTCTATGAAACATTAAAAAATCAACAAAAGTTTGGCATCATACAGACAGGCTCAACACCATCAACAAGCTTTCAGTAATCGAGGGATGGATGTGTTATCTAGCAGACAATTGGGTGTTTCTACCTGTTCAGTGCCACAGTGAATTGGTAAAGGCATGTGTGTTTTATAAAGAAATTTGCATACAACAGCCTGACTGATTTTTAGGGAACTCTGTCACACCTTTGCAATATATTGGCCGCCCACAAATATCTTTCATCTGTGCAATTTTGCAGATTAGCAGCACAAAGTCCCTGGCTAATAAAATTTTACACTTTTGACATGCAGCAAATTTCTAAATGTGCATGATTTTGGGTTGCAGTTTCAAATATCAAAACAAACATGTTTGCACAAGAAATAAAGTTTCCAGTGAGCAAAGCAAAGCATGAGCTACCTGCAGTTTAACCTACACGGATTTCACTCTGGTTTATATACATTGTGAAAATTTGCATGATGATGCCAATGATTCATCCAAATCATCAAATTGACAATTTTAAAATAACTATTTTAGGGACACTATTGCTTAACTCTACTTTTGCCTGGTGCCATATTCTACTGTTTGCCTGGTACCAGATTCCCGATACCAGTAAATTTTCCACAGCACTGGCTCCCAAAGATGTAAAGCTTTTTCATTTGCTGACAGCTATTTTCAATTGAAAAAACAAAATTTGTTCCTTCTTAGAAAGAGTACATTATCTACTAACAGTGCTTTGCTCTGATATCCAGAGTACATTCCGATGCCCTCCTGTCGGATATATCTGGCAGAGAACGAGCTTCTGATTTCTTTCCCCCAGGAATTTTGGCTAGATTTTTATAGCTTTAACAGTATTGGCGTGGCATTGGCGTGGCACTGCATCAAATTTATAAATTAATGACTGATATTGGTGTTGAACATCATTCAGATTAACGAAGATAATTTCAAAACTTTCTCTTCGAGATGAAAAATATTTCCAACCTCACTTTCAGGCAATTTGAATTGAACAATAAAATGGACCCCTAAATATTTTTGGCTAGTTTTTCTTGCTCCTTCGGTTTTGGTGGGTATTTTTGCCCTAGGAAAATGCTGGCAGAAATATCCCGCGGAGAGAAAAAATGAAATGCACCCTGGTCTGATATACATACCAGGACAAAAATATTGCAACACCTGCGAAGGCGATTAATGGCGGATCATGCAATAACTTTTGTTGTTGTCTGATTAAGCTATTGTTTAATCAGCCAATGGCGCGCAAATAAAATTGCAGATCCAATGAAGCGTTAATTCAAATATTCCATTTTCTTTCTTCAAAATTTTAAATCAGCAATTCAAGTAACTTTTAATTAAACAGATATTTTGTGGAGGTGCTTCTGGCTCTGATAAGTGCGGAATATTGCTTTGGAATTGATGCACAAAATTTGTTGATGAAAGGCACTGGGATTCTCCTTCGTTCTCCATAAACTCTCTAAGTCAGTTCTTGTTTGGATCTTAGAGAACCTTGTGGATTTCAAATCAGATCATTTTCATTGGCAACAAGAAATATTAGCTTATTTTAAGGTTAGATCTTTGTGATGGCCGAGGAAGGACATAGAGTTTGCAGATTTTCAGGTAAATTTGAGTAAAAATGGCCTTGTAACGGGGATGTATTGCTTTTTATGATAAAAACTGCCTTCCTCATTTTCCTAGCATTAATTTGATTCCACCAAAGAAACTGTTATGCATTATTTTGACATGTTTCACTGCATTAACTCGCACGTCGCTAGTTCATGATTTACTAATTTATATAGGCCTAAATGTACCAAAAAAATTATCCAAGTTTTATTGGAGAATTTCGAGGCTAAAAGAGTCAGAGCTAATAACTTCATTTGTTGTTTCCTAAACTTTCACTATTTTGCTATCATTTTCTATAAAAAGTTGCAAAATCTTTAGAGTCGAGAGACCAGTTACACGAAGTTTTATCGCAACTACTCGCTCCTTATCTTGTCAATATCTTGAATTTACCACTGCAGATATTTTTTCTTATAACTGTAAAATTTCTTACGTTAATATTGTAACTCTAAGTTTTTCGAAATCCTCAATAAACTTCGAAGAATTTAATTTCTGATTTAGAATGATTATGCTTATTTTTGAGGGGAATATTTCAGCGTAAAGTTAAAAGTTTACAAAACTTCAAATTATTTTGATGCCATTTTGATTAGGGTGTTGCAATACTTTTGTCCTGGTAGTGTATATTCATATAAATTTAGAAGCTAAGAGACATTGTGTTACCAGCATAAAATTATAGAAAATTTGATGCTTTTTTCACAAAAAAGGCCAAAAGCTATGATTCCTTCAAGTTTCTACATTTGGGCACTCTCAAAGGGAAAAGGGTAATCCCCTCCACTTAACAGACAAAAGCAAAGCCTGAGGTTTACAATAGAAATTTAAACAGGTAAAGGCATAAGTGAAGAATTTCAAGATTTGACATTAGAACATTTACCTCTTAATATAAACATTCATACTGACACAACAACTGGAAGACAATTATCACAATACAACTAAATATCTTATCTTTTATCAGAAAGCAAATTTAACTACTGTATTCAATAATTAGATTAGGCCTGCTTTCAAGACTCGTAGCTTTTACACAGCATCACTTCAAACGTAAACAAACAACGTGAAAGTATAATCATAGAAACAAATAAAGATGGTCCATGTATAGGTAACAACACCTGCATTCAACACAATGAAAGCCAATATGTAGCTACCGAATGGAGACGTGTCTTCTCTCGAAACTAAAAGAAATTTCTACACATACTAACTTCCAATAAAAGTATGAATATCATTTTAAATTTTCGCACAAGAACACGACTTTTTGCTTCCAGAGTAACGAGTTATGTGTTGACAACAATACAATAACATTGCATCTCTATTCATACGAAATACGACATCAAGGCCTAACAGCGTCAAGCAAAAATTTCTTTCCACAATTTTCTAATCTCATTATAAAAATAATTCGTTCAAAATAAAGGCTTACCGATGACATAATCGCAGTAGCTAAAAAATTCAAACTGGAGTGGTCTATTTCTTGAGTTTTAAACCTTTGCCTGTAACGGCTTGCCAAGGCGTCACCTCAACAGAATGATCGTTTGAAAGTATTTTCCAAGCCCGCTATGAATTATGGTACTTTCTTATTTCAAATCTTCGACGTTTCAAGTTCAGCCAATCAGAGCCCTGATGCGTCCGTACCTTGAATGAGTCAAAAAATGAACTAAACAAAGGGCCGGAGCTGCTATTGTTCTTGAGGGAGAAAGGCTGTGCCCCCAAAAGTTTTGAAAATTCTCTTGTTTCCAAAAAACATTCCGTTTCTCCTTTTCTTTTCAAACAATGGTGCCAATGGAAGCGGGGTGGGGGCTAGAGCCCCCTACTGAATGAGAAGGAGTACAATGTGCATCCTTCCCAAAAAGAATTTCCTTCTGACGGCACTGCCCTAGTAATTTTACTCTTCCCACAACAATGTAGGGCAATAGACATGATACATACAGATAATGGATACTCTTGAGTGTCATTGGTGAGTCACTGGCTTGGGTGACGAAAATACTCGGGTCATTTTATAATTAATTAACAGTGACAGTGGCGTTAGTAACACAATTTAGGGCACCTCAGTTCAATAACTAAGGACCCCTGACCAAAAAGGACCCTCCAAATAACGATTATATCCATGCTCAATGACTTCGCTCAAGTTCACTTCATTTTCAACAACTTTTAATGTTCTTCAACTGAAACTTCTATTACTAAGCCCCTCTAAGTTAACGAGAACAAATTATCCTTTTCACATCTTGCTATTGTGTCTGATATGCACTACACCCTTGGATGGGACTTGCTTGCAGTCCGTAAGTAGGAGTCTTGTCTCAGCCTTTTCCTTAGGGCCCCAGAAGCTTTTAAAAACTGACCAATAAAGATAGGGAATAGTGGCCAGAAACGGTGAAAACGGAGGAGAAGAAAGGTAAAAAGAAAAGAGAGAGAGAAAGAAGAAATAAGAAAAATTTGACGAAAACGAAAAACAGGATAGAAGAAAAGGAAGAAAGCAGGGACGCCTGCAAAAGATAAGAGCAGGAGGGGCAGTGTTGGTGCCGAGGGCAAATCGTGGAATTTTTCTACTAACATAATCGAGTATTCCTAGGTGGAGGGGGGGGGGGCGATGTTGGGGTAGCATAATAAAATATTAACTTGAATACAGTGCCACTCATACGGCTGGGATTTTACCATTGTAAAATGGAGGTTTAAAATCGCGAGAGATGATCCGAAAACTGATACTTTAAAGAATGATGGTTTCTTGCGAGCGGCTATATTTTTCCTTTCCGTAGGATTACCCCTCATTAGGATTACATCATGTTGCGTAGTCATTAGTTATATTGGGTAACATTACCTTCTGAATTTCTCTCCGAATCCCCTTGAATCTAAATAACTACGTATATTTATATGTACAAGAAAAATACCAGAAAAGCATACGTATGTTAGGAGTGAAGATTGATATATCTAAATAAATTCTCTACAAAAATACAATTATCTGGAAATAACATCTATGTACAATGCTTAAAACACCGAAGCTACATTCAATGAATTATCTAAGAAAGACAACATACCAAAAATAAGCTTTGTGAACTATTTGGGAAGGACGACAGACTAAAAATAAGCTTTAAGCAATTTAGTAATATCTAGTTAATTTATTAGCAAGCTTTTGTTAATTCATTCGACAATGTAACGGAACTAAATATTTAAACAATAAATTCCAACCCAATCTATGTATTTTTTATGATAATGAAATGATATTTTGATATAAAAGATGTGCTACAAATAAAGAAATTTGCTAGTTTGGTATAAATTGCTAAAAAACTTTGTGTGTACTGGTTAGCTACATAAAGACAAGTTGATATTCAAACGGGATTTATTAATGATAATTATGATGGTTATGATAATTATGATAATTATTATCGATAGGATTTAGGATTGTAATGAGATTGTGGCGCGTAGCATGATATCAGAAATAAAACTAACTTATAAGAACTGTACATGAAAAGTTAAGAATTTGAGTTAACCCAGCATAGATTCTATCAATTTTTAGCAAAGTTTAATTAGAGAAGACCTTGAATAGAAATTTAACTCCTAAACAGCCTAAAAGTTTTTAAAAAGAATAAAAAAGCGATATTAAAAGAATCTAAGCTACGACAAAAGCTAGGAAATTTGGTTTTTCGTTCGCGTAGTTCTCTGCCATATTCATACCTGGACGTTTGAAAAATCAAACTGTATTTCTATTTCTGAGGTTTAGAAGGGGGGGGGGGGGATTAGTATTTAGAAGCATAAAGTGATATCTATTATAGGGCTTGTGGGCATTGAAGTGGAATGACCAAGGTCTCAAGGGCTTTTTAAATCTGAGATATCAAATCTGAGGAAGTCCCTAAAAGTTAAACATTTCAAAACACTTCCTAACCATGCCAATCGTATCCAGCAGTTTACTAACCAATTCATGTATGACATCACGTTACTTTGCTGTAGTGTTCATGAGTAAAACACGGATCCAGTTGAATTCTTCTTTCCAGCTTTTTTCTTCTTTTGTTTACGAAGGCCTGTAATGATGTAAAAATTGAATATATCTGGTCCGGAAATTATCGTTAAATATTTGTTTCCTACGTTGCCTAAAGAAGGTGGACAATTTCGAAAAGTTAAATTTTCTCTAGAAACTATAGACAATGTATTATTAAAACTTACTTATTAAAACAAAATATGAACAGAAATAGTGGATATGTGAAAATCATAAAACAGTGAATGTCATTAATGGTTAGGACAAGATAACCTTAGAAGCATTTCTTCTAATTTTTTCAAAATCAGAAATTTTCTTAATACAATTTTAGAATTTTTACAATATTTGCAAATAGCTAGGGAATATTCAAAACTATGAACCTTGAGCATGCATAATCATTTGAATTTGCTCATCTTCTTCTCTTTCCCTGAAAAAAGACAGCATCGATGATTCTCCTGATAACACAATAGGCAACATAGTAATACAATCAGCCAATACAGTTGCATGGCTGTAGCAATGAGGCAGAACTCCCTAGTAGGGCAAGACAGTCTCAAACCTTTGTTTATATAGTCAGCATTTAAAGCAATGCTGAATAGACGAAATAGCACAGGAACACGCCAAAAAGTAGAACAACACTATTGCATACTAAAGGTACTGTTTCCGGCGTTATGCGTATGCAGTCATTTGGTTCAACTTTTTTGCAATCTTTGAAAACTATTACGAAATCTTTACTTTCCAACGAAAATATTTTGACACAAGGCTAGAAAGGGTTACTTTAACAACTGCTCTAGATAGCAAAAATGTATTAACAAAAATCTAGAAATATGATTTGACGCTGATGATAGTGACAAAATTACAAGAATGAAGCAAATTTTTCAAAGACAGATTTCGAAAACATTAACCTGCAATCTGTTGTCTAAAAAGTCTAAGATAATGTTTTGAAACTAGAAAGATATTTAGCGCGAGGAACGTTTATTAATACCAATATCAGTGGTGGCGCCAGAGGAGGACTATGGGAGGCTACAGCCCTCTGTCGCAAGCATCTAGCCCCCCTCCCATATCGGAGGAAATTTTTAGGCTATTGTCGGAGCAAATTTGACAAAATAGCTTACGAAAACTGCACATTTTAGTCATTTTAGCCCCCCTGTCGGAAGCTCCAACCCCTCTGATGATTTCTGGTGCCACCTCTGACCAACATGTAAACAATTTGCAAAATTATGTCTTGTCACAATGATATTCATGAAATAATGTCTTGCTCAAAATTTCCTCAATAAGGAATCTAGTATTGCTAATATTCAAAATGAAAACAAAAACACAAATGCAAGACAAACAAATAGCAGAATTATTTGGGCGAATGAGGAGGATCTTTGGAGGTAAAGGCTGAAATATACTATCCATGTAAATGAAATCGATAAAACGAAAGGTTCATTTAAAAGCCTTCAAGGAATACAATAGAAGAAAGTTGGACGAAAGATGAACACGTCCAACTTTATAAAAGGAACTTTTATTGTGTTTGGCCCTAAACTTTATTTTATTGTGTTTTGCTACTGTCACTGTCATCATTATAAAATGACCCGAGCATATTCGTGACCCTAGCTAGTGACTCACCAATGAAAGTCAGAGAATCCATCATATTCTACCATGTCTATTGCCCTGCATTGCTGTGGGAAGGGTAAAATTACTGGGTAACACGTCCAACTTTTCATTTTGACATCAAATTTTGCGTTTATCCTGTCCATTTTTTGGCGATCCATTTAATTGAATCCATTTAAATGAATAGTGTATTTCAGCCTTAGCTTTGAATTGTTTGGTAAACAAAGGAGATGTCTTTTCTGAAAAATAAAACTCAACAAGAGCAAATTATACCTTATCCTATCTTGTTCAATTTTTTCGACTATCTTATTTCTTCTTGAAACATAATTAACCAATTGTTGCAAAAGTTGTTCCTCAGCTTGTCTATCTTCGTCTGTTTTTGTCGATTCTGTACAAAGACAAACAGCAGTATTACCTTTTACTAATCATTGAAAATATTTACGAAATTTTCTTAGATACTAAGAAAAAAATAAATCCAAAATCTCGGTGTTAAATTTCCAAGTTGATCAGATGTAAAGAAGATGCAATAGGATTAAAGGAAAGGAGCAATGGCTGATTTTTCAAATACTGAACATCATTGCACTCCGAATTTAACTGCATGCACATGTATATTGGGCGGGGGTTAGCTCGTCTCCCGTACAAAGCAGAGCTCTAATAAATTCAATTTTTTTCATTATTTGTTGAAAGGGGAAATCATGATTTTCCATCTCCGTCTGAATTATTCACGGCGAGCCAAGCCAAAAATAGTTTATTTTTCTCTTTATGACTTACAAGATCAAGACCATAATAAGATTTTGTTATATTTTCGTCAATATTTATCTTCATAGCAGTAAATTTCTAGAACGGAAAAGTTGCTTAGGAAAAAGTGGTTGGATCTATAATACACGCCCAATCTAAAAATTTCAAAACTGAACACCGAATCTTTAAAACTAACCATCTTTTTCCATAAGAAGTCGTAATTCATATTCGATTTTCTTCTGATATTCATGATAGTCAATCTCTTGAGACCTAAAACAAGCAATTATTTAATAATAAATCATAATAAATCATAATAAATCAATTTGTTACTAACCCCGATTTGCATGGTAAAAAGAATACCAAAGGATTAATTACGAAAATAATTGTTAAAGCAAATTCCTTAGATACTATTCAGAATTAGAATTATTTAGCTAAGTATCACTTGTAAAGTCTGTCTGTTATTCTATTTGAGGTGAGATCTGTGATAACGCAAAATTACTTAAACTGCTGTTATTCGCTAACATTTTTCGCCTGATATCTAATTTGAGAGAGTGTTCTTTGTTTTTTTTCCTTTGGTAATTCATATGTAAGTTGTCTCAGTTTTTTGTGATGCCACAGAGTAGTCATAGTGTTTTGCACCCAGTGGCATCGTCCTTGTAGTATCGTTAAATATTTTGTAGGTAGTGTAACTAGTAAATTTGTATTGTAAATTTTTATTAAAATGTAAAAAAACATTAGCATTCTCAGAAGAACATAAAAACGACCTAGGTTTGTAAATCGATAAAAAAATATTTAAAGAGAGATGATAAGAATTTTTGCAAAACAGTTCTCCGTAGGAATCCCTTTCCCTTTGGCGTTATTGCTTACCAAATCATTGCGAACCAATCAACAGTTCATGCAAGAAAAATCTTGATACAAGTTCCAAAATCATTTATTATCTCAAAAGAACACGATGAGGAAACTTTCACAAAGAGGATCACTCAACAATTGCACTTACATATATATAAGTTCATTTTCTCTTCGAAGCAACCGGTTTTTCTCTGTAACCAAATCAAACCAGGTCACCATATAATCCTCTTCAGGATCTCCTGTGAATCAAACGTAGCGAAAATACGTTAAAAAAGTGAATATATGGTGCCTACTGAGAGTTCAAATGCAGACGGGCAATTACTCTAGGAAACATATCTTCTGCTACATTAGTGTTTGGCGTTTTGAAGTTTGTGGCCTATAGAAAGTATACTAACAATCTTTTGGTGGTACAAAACTTGTAAATGGCTTTGAAAAAGGCAAACATTTAGTAAACTAAAGCTTTTCGTCTGACACTCTTCAGAGTTTAAAACGTCAGAACATAGATCGAAAACTCTACGCTAAGAAATATATATACCCAGTTGTGGATCGAAATAGGCCAATCAGAAACACGAGCACATGACTGTAAAGGTTGACCAATCAGTGCCGCTTGCCTATTAGAATGTTACCAATGGAGTCCTAAGGTGAAAACGAACTGCGACCAAAAGCCAGGTGTCTATTTTCGGTATGTGGATGACACATATACTATTTTCAAAACAGAGGCTGAGTGTGATATTTTCCTAAAACGCCTTAATGGTCTTCACACAGCCCTACATTTTACATTTGAAAAGGAAGAAAATAACTCCTTGCCATTTCTGGATGTTTTGGTTGAAAAATCTGACACTGGATTTCTCACCAGTGTATACCGTAAACCCACATTTTCGGGGTTATCCACTCGATGGAGTTCGTTTTGCCCAAAACAAAGAAAAATCAGCCTCATCAAAACGCTCACACATAGGGCACTGATGATTTGTTCCAAGTCTAAACTCGACTCGGAACTTGAAAAACTAACTAAGATTTTTCTGGAGAACGGCTATCCAGAACATGTTATTTCAGTTTACATTAAGGAGAAGATAGGAAATTTCTCGGCTGACGTAAAATTTGGTCCTCAAAAGTGCCCGGTCTATCTAAAACTACCTTGGATCGGTAACAGCTCCCTACGTTTTGAAAGCCAAATAAAACAGGCCATAACAAATTGTTTCTTCGCGGTTAACCCACGTGTTGTTTACAGTACAAAAAAGGCCCTTCCGTCCATTCAAAAGGACTGCGTTCCTGCCACAAAAAAAAAGTTCTGTTGTGTATGAATTCACGTGCCAGTGTGATTCTGGCTACGTAGGACGCACCACCCAAAGATTGGAGGATAGGATAAAACAACACGTTCCATCTAATATTAGAAACAAAACACATCCCCAAAGAGAACAGCCACCTCGGTCTTGCAAATCCAAAATTACTAATAAGACCTGCGATTCTGCTATCGGGCAGCATTTGCTAGAAAACCCATTTTGTGCAAAAAACTATAATGGCGACATGTTTCGGATTATTGGTAAAGCCCGATCGTCGTTCCACCTAGCAGTTTTAGAATCTATCTACATAAGCACGAAAAAACCGCTACTGTGTAGACAAAAGGAGTTCGTTTTCACCTTGGGACTCCATTGGTAACATTCTAATAGGCAAGCGGCACTGATTGGTCAACCTTTACAGTCATGTGCTCGTGTTTCTGATTGGCCTATTTCGATCCACAACTGGGTATATATATTTCTTAGCGTAGAGTTTTCGATCTATGTTCTGACGTTTTAGACTCTGAAGAGTGTCAGACGAAAAGCTTTAGTTTACTAAATGTTTGCTTTTTTCAAAGCCATTTAGAAAGTATACTTTAGATAACTGGATAATTTCACGAATTTTTACATTTTAATTATAAATTCTGCAGACTTGGAAATCTGAGCATAACCATTCTATGGAAAAGGATATCATTGCCATAAATCATTCGAGCTAAAAAATAAAAGCTTTGTACTTTTGAAAAATAAAAATTAAAACACACAGAACTATTAAAATGAAAAATTAATTCAAGCTGTTAGGGTGAGGGGCAAAGAACTTTTGCTATCGAGTTGCCTCGCAATGCAACCCTAATTTACACTTAAAGTCGTACCTAAAAAAATTACCCTACACACAAAACAAGTTATACAAACAGGCAAAGTTTGAATCTCTGCTCGTTTCGATAATAAACCTACGCACAGCCTAGCAAAAGTTTTTTGGCCTTCGTCTACAGAAACTCTTTTCTGGTTACTGAAAGATCTTGTAGATAGCTGAAACAATGCTTAGTAGCGAAACATTTTGGTTACCAAAAAGTCCTTGCTGATTACCGCCGAAACACCTTGTTTACTCCCGAAATACTTTTTTGGTTACCGAAAGACAGTGTTAATAAGTGGAAGATTTTCCCAAACTAGACAAAAAAATGTGAAGCAAACTGAGTGATAAAGGCATTTTTCAGTTTTCTGGTTGAAGAAACTTTAAGGACGGCACAGAACAAACGTTACATACTAAAACCCATTTTGCTATGCATTCATCAGGGAACCAAACGTCAAAATGATTGTTGAAAGGGCAAAATCTTAATTTGTACTAGTGTGTGGATTGCAAATACTACAGTTGATCCAAATCAGCACCTCGTATGACAATGCTGTTCCATGTAATTAAAAATAACATTGTACGCCATCCAAACTTACCATGAAGCTGTTCTCTCAATCGCTTTTCCATTTCAACACCTTTTTGTTCAAGAACTCTTTGCTTGGCCTCAATCTCCTTTAACTCCTGTCCTATATCATCAATTGTCAAAGGCTTATCCTCAATAAATGTATATGTCCGCTCCAATCGCATGCTCTCTTCGTCTTCCTCTATCTCTTTTTCCTGTTTCTCTTGCATATTCTTTTCTGTTTCATTTTTTTCTCCCTTCTTCGCCTTCTTCTTTTTATCTTTTTCTTTTCTCTTGACTTCAGACTTTTTCTCTTTCTTTTCACTCTCCTTCGCATTTTTACCCTTCTGTTTCTCACCTTCCTTTAAATTCTTTCCTTTCTGCTTTTCAATTTCCTTCGATTTCTGCCCCTTACTTTTCGTTTCATTGTCTACCCCTTTACTTTCATTTATTTCCTTTTCTTTCGAGACAACCACTTTTGTGGCCTCCCCAGCATCAATCTTTTTATTTTGATTTGCTACTGCACTTACATGGGGCATTGGTGGCGATTCCTTATACGGCGTTATCCCTTTGGGTACGGGTGGGGCTGGCCTTTTCGGTGGTTTTTCTTTCTGTACAGTCATTGGTTCTTTTGATTCGTCACCAGACTCTTTAACATCTTCGTTTTTTCTATCTACAGCTTTTTCCGTATCTCCATCTTGATTGTCGTCTGATTGTAAGCATTCTTTCTGCGTGACACCTTCAGGCAAATGCCCTGATGAAGAGGTTTTGTTAAAATCATTATCAATCACACTCTGAGGATCATTTTTGTCCAAAGCAGGGCAACTCACAGAGAGAGGACTCATAGGCCTTCCAGGCTGGCCTTGCCTTTGCGAATAAAGTTCACCACCTCGGCTCTCCATTCGTTTTCGCACTTCGATTTCAGAATTCTCTACATACGTTTTAAATGTCTCTAACGGGTCTGCTGGTACTAAAGGCGGCTTTGTGGTTGCATCATCCTGTTCGTAATTGTCTACTGTCCTATTATCTTTCTCTACTGGTTCAGCCAACGTGCTTTGCTCTACAGGTGGCGCAGGGGCTTTGTATTTCTTTTTCTTAACTTTTAAAACCAACACCTTTTTCTGTTTATGTTCTTCGCTTTGATTTTTCGGTTTCACTTCCCGAGGTTCATCTAGTAAATCATCATCTGAATCTTCAAAAGGATTTTTATACGATTTTTCTTTACTATCACTCAATCCTTTCTTCAAATTTTCAATCCTCCGCTGGTGTTCCTCCATTTGTTCAGGAGATAAAGGGGTCTTAGGTCCCTCTCCTGCAACCAACTTAATTTTTCTGGAAACCACTCTGCCAATGGCGTCATCCATCAATTCATCTTCTTTAGGTGGCAAATCTCCAGCATGTAAATCTTCCTTAGAGTCACACTCAGTGTCAGAACTGTCCTCAAACGGATTTAATACGATCTTTTTTCGCTCTCGGCTCTCGAGTTGCTTATTACTAGCTTCATCTTCATCCGAATCGTCGAACGGATTCACGTATTTCAACACCTTTCTCTTCTTCTCACCATTACCGTGACTTGCATAAGGTTGAGGCTCTTGCATGCCATTACCGTGACTCTCATAAGGTTGTTTTTCTTGCAGGCCATCATTCTCAACAATATTGCTCTCAACAAGTTTATCATCATTCGTATCTTCATTTTGTGTTGAATCTTCCTCATCCTCAAAACTTTCTTTTTGACCATCATCGGTCACAACAACAACACTATCCTTACCTTTTTCTTCATCTCCTGAAAATATTTCGTCTTTAACGTCATCCATTTTCTGATCCAACTCGGGAGTCTGGGGAAGCTCTGGTTTCGTTTCAACATTTTCAAACTCCTTTCTTTCATCATCGTTAGTGGTAATACCTTCTTCTTTTGTTGGTTCACCACCTTCCATACTTTCTTCAGTTCTATCTCTTCCAGTTAATTCCCCAGTCTTCATATCTTCCATTTCTTCTACTTTTGATTCATTTTCCTCGATGGTATCATGACTATGATTGTCAGGACATTTTTCATCAGCAGTCAAATCTTCCTCCATCTTCTCAGTATCTTCCTTCTTGGCCTCTTCATTTTCAGCCTGATCTTCCTTTCCAACTATAACACTGTCACTCCCGGTCTGTTTTTCTATGTTCCCAGTATGATTTGTTTCTCCTTCGTGAGTTTCGTGAGCTTTCTTTTTCTTTTTTACTTTGAGTACAAGCTTTTTCTTCTTCCTATCATCTGAGCTGGTAGAATGTGACTTTGACCTCATTTCTAAATCAATATCAGATTCGTTTGATTCACTTCCGGTGTCACGATGAATCTCTTTGCTAATACGCTGCACTCTTTTATCTTCCAAGGACAGCAAAGCTGCACCCGTGTTTTCATAAACTGGCTTTGTCTCAATTTTGATGCTTTCTCTGTACCTAGGGTTTTCAAATAGAACATCTCCTCCTTCATTAGTCCCGCCTTTTTCGTTAGTAACGTTTGCAAATGGAGTTTCATAAATATGAACCCCTCCTTTGTCTTCGATACATTTTGAGTCATTTTGTGCTTTCATCAACACATCACTTAGAATCCCCCGGGCAAGATCTTTAGGAGTTGTGTTTTCATAAGGCGAGCGATGTTGTTTCGAGCTATGTCCAGGGGGGCTGGTTGGCCTCGCTGGTCTAACAGGGGCTTCTTTCATCTTTGACTCATCATTTGACAATAATATCGATGGCAGTGCAGGCCTTTTTGGGATTTCTTGTACATTTGGGGTTTCTATGATATCATCATCGGCTGTTATTGAAGCTTCTGCCATGGATGTGGAATCTGGAGGTCTCCCGGGGAGCTGCATTGGACGTGGCGGGCGGTGTCGGGGAGCTCCAAGCGTTAAATCCTTTGATTCACTGTTTTTCTCCACTGATAAAATATGAATGAAATCAAAATGAATCAAAATGAAAATAATGTTATGAAAATCATGTACCCTTACCGATCTGAGAATTTAGGAACTAGAAAATGATATATTAGCAAAGGGCAAGATAACTAAATAGCATTAAAACTTATTCCCGAGAAAATTTGTCGGTAGTTGGTCAGATGAAAAGAGAACAAAGAGAGACAATCAATGCACCATTCACGTACCACCAAAGCACCAATCAACCGTACTCCACCTCATGGAAACCTGACCCTCGCCATACCCAACCCCAACCCTATCCACAACAACACCCTAACCTACCCCAACAAACCCCACAAATCCATCAAATACTTGAGTTCAACCATAAAATGCACATACCATTTTCCTTTATTTCCTCCTGTCTCTCGTAATCAGTCTCCATTTGTTCACCCCCCGTGAACCTTTTTCTCGCATTGGCAATCCTTTCATGAACAGAAGCATGTTTCATAACCATTTTATCATCTTCATTTTGAGTTGCTTGTTTCCTTTTATTCTCTAAACTTTCCAACAAATTTTTAAGTGCATCTTGCTCATTCTTTTGATTTCCATTCTTTGGCCGTGAAGAATCATCTGTACCTTTAAAAATAAATTAAAAGGATAATATATACTATTACTCAGACAATATTCAATAATTTAAAATAAAGATAACCCAAAAAATATATACTTATTTGAACCACGATCTTAACCAGGCATAATATGTAAAAATACAAAAAAAGACAGGCAAATTTTTATTACCTTTTTGACGTTCCGGGATATTTTAAAATGATATAATGTACGATAAAACTAGCCCCTGACTTGCATTTGCCGATTGGTTAAAGACAAAGAACCGATAAAACATTCTTTTTCTCAAGATATTTTCGATCGGCAATTAAACCTGAATTTGATTTTACCTTTTTCTCACTATCTCAGGCATTGTACTTCACCACCCGACGCGGAATTTCAAACAAAAAGTGTGACTTGCCTGTGTCAAGTTTCTACTTTTTAGGACCAAAATATAAAACACCAAGTAAATATTAGATATGTATTGCAAAACAATAGTGACTGTACCAACCATTTACAGGATTTGAAGACAAAAAATTATCTTTATGTCTTCAGATTGTTTATCTTCACTTTTATGCTGGGTTCTCGATCGCAATTCATTACATACCTACCTTAAATGTTTAACATCCCTGAGGTAAACGAGACCATAGGCTGTTAACTCTTATTTTTGGGAATCAGGGAGATATTAAGTCTGAAATGTATTTCTGTCAAAAGCAGGCCTAGCATTTCTTAGTAGTGAATCTTGATATTATTGTCTAAATTATTTGAAACAATATCATTTTTTGAAGAAATTCCACATAAGTGGGGAGGGGGGGGGGAGCAACGATCTCACCACACCACCTGGAGACGCCACTGATGTCCCTACAATATTGTCAAACTACCCTCTGCATGAATAAATTGTATTTGGCTTTTCCTCTAGCTCCTTGCCACTCTGCAAACTAGACCACGGAGTTCCCTTTTTGATTTAAAAGTGCATATACATATTAGAAGTTACACATACTCGTCGAGGTAGTTCTCTGTCTATAGTGCCTATCGCAATAGAATTTTTCTTCTGTGGGGATGTAGCGATATGTTCCCATCCTAAGCTGTATTTCACAGAGAGCACAAACGAAACACACTCTATGGAAAATTTTCCCCTCAACCTGCATTCGCTCCATAAGATACACTGTCTTCCCACAATTGGCACAAAACCGATCAAGTGTCCCTTTACTAATGTTTGGATCTGGTGTTGAGCCAATAACTTCCTGAAATAAAGACAACATGAAGATATAAAAACAAAAAATGCAACGAGTTTGGTAATGGAGACATGAGAAACCTTGCATCAATCAATGATAACAGCACAACTGATGCAAAAGCTGACGAGACAAACACCAAGGATTATATCAGGGGTTTCCTGGAAAGGCTAGGCAGAGGGGGGAAGGCTCTCTTTAGTATCATCCTGAGCGGTTTTTTGGGTGAATCACAAATTAAACATATCATAACCAGTTTTTTAAGATTTTTATTTACAAGAAGAAGGAAGACGATATTCAATTCAGATTGCTCATTCACACAAAATACTGCCAGATAAATAAACAATTTTAGTGCATATTCAGAGACCGTCACGTCTAAAACGACAAGTCCTTTGCTCGGAATTCTAGTTAGGAACTGCCCCCAATATGGAGCTAAAGCAAGTGAACATTTTTCTAGCTTCCAAAGAGAAAAATAAATTACCATGGAGCCACAAAAGAGAAGATTCGGCTTTCTCGATCAGATTAATGCCAGAATATAATGTAAAAAAGAACAAACTTATTGGATTATTTAGTTGTTTTATAGCAGTAGGTTCATTGTACAGTAGCCAAACGATTTTTTCTACCATTTGAAAATAACTCAAACGCTCATTTACGTACAGTAGAATTTATTATCAGAAGAACAGAAAACACAATATAATAGCAACGATCAGAACATGATTTACCACTAACATAAATTAAAGTAATTGACTACGTGGGACTAAGACAGCTGCCCACACCAACATAACTATTTCATAAACATCAATTCAGTCTGCAATTAAATAGTCTTGGCTGCTACCAGACTATCCAAACAGGATGAATTGATAAAAATCCAGATATTTGACCAGGTATTCATTAAAAACTGGTGCCTATTTTAATCTAACTTTGATTGGAGATATCTGTATTCCAGACTAGCATTCAGGTTCAAAACTGAACAGAACAAAGTAATTTAAGCTACACGGTCATTATTGTTTTGTTAATCATTACAATCAATATCAGTTTCTCCTTTATCACTGAGACAATTTTCATTCTCACATTTACCTCAAGGACCATATTCAAATGAAAATATCTGTTGCTTGCCTCAAGGAAAACTTTTAGTCATAAAAAAGACATGATGGTACAAGATTTATTGCCTTTTGGATGTTATTATGAAAAACAATGGGATGCCAAAGCTATTAATCCATCCACCTTTTATTCCAAATTTATTTGCACTAGAGTGTCTATTTGGAGACAGAGCCAAAGTATCTAGAATATTCCATTCTCGGAGACTTGCAACTAAGATTCTGAAGTTTTGAAATTTCAGTGCCCTTATTCGATCCAGTATCCTCACAAGATTAGATGCCTGGAGGGGGCAACTTGTGGATAATTACCATTGTCCCTATATCCATGTGATGTAAAAGATCTTTAATAAAAATAACTTAATAAAGCGTCTTTTAAGATTCTTCCAGAATCACTTTGTAGCATGTGGATTTTCATAAATGCATATTTGGTAAACAATGTAGGACTGTTAGCATTTGCTACTACCTTGGTTCTGAAGGTGGTTTTGAAACTGAAAAGCTGTGCTTACTGCGAATTGACCTGGTCCTTCCCCTCAATGTGACTGTACCTCAAAATTCCTATGCCGCGAACTACAGAGAGCTGGTGACACCCCTCACTCAGGGTGAAAGTTTGGTCACGTCAGTGACTTGAACCTCAGACCCTTAGAATTTTTGTCAGAGAACCCTAAACCACTAAGCAATCCTAACACATAAAACCATGCTGATGTCCCTTACTTCAATCAATAACAGTCCATTTTGGAGCAAACCTGTTTTTATAAAACATTTGCTTATAAGCAAAGCATTTGTTTATAGGCAAAACCCAAACCTTTGTAGCAGAAATCCCAGGGACATCTCCTGCTGGCCTCTTTTTTGGTGAATCCTCAGATTTGTATGGAGACTGTCTCTTTGTTGCATGTCGTTTGGGGGTCTTTGGAATTTCACCTGAAAATGCAATGATTCTTTGAAAGGCCTAACTTACTATTGAATAGCTGGAAAATTTTGTCAAACAAAATTGGCACACGATCAATAAAAGTACTTATGTTTTTATGATTCAGAATTGAAGATAAAAGGGGGAGGGGTGATGATAATAATGATGAAAGAAAGAATACTGTGAACAATGACAACAGTGATTTGCCAACACAATCATTCATCCCTGTACGCTTAAAAGCAATTAACAACAACTGGCCAACCTGGTATTAAAAATATACAATCATTTTATCGATGAAAAAAAAGAAACTCAGCCAAAACACAAATTGTGTTGAATTGAAGGAAGGTCAGGGTAAGGTTATTCTTTACATCTTCTGACGAAAACAAAATATGTGATTTGATAATCATGTCTGCTATTTTAGAAAATACACTTCTGACAGGGATTACCGAGTCCTTTATTGTTGCACATATAAAAGAGGGAAAAGGTTGGCTAAAATGCCAGGGAACTAATGGAAAACTTGATTTGATGGCACTGTGGGTCCAATGCTTGACAAAGAAAGCATTTTTCATCCTTTTTCTGGGTTTGTTTACTTAATTTCATTCAACGTCAAAGTGTGTAATTAATTGGATAGATACATGAAAGATATACAGAACATTTTTGGCAGTAACTAATAGAAGATCAGATTGAAAGTTATCTCCAGTTAACATGCATGGAGATACAAATGTGGGGGAGTTACAAATGTGTGCAACCCTTCCACTAGCTGGTTTGCTCCACTCACAAATTTTGTTTTACTAGTGCCATCTTATTTTTAGTCCCCACAGCCACTGAAATGGCAGGAGAGATCTTGTTTAATGATTTGTGCTAAAATAGATTAACAATTAGCAACACTCCATGCACTGATTTTAAACAAGATTGGTTGGACTGAGTTATCTTAAAAAAACTTTTTCACATTAGACTCTGGCTATAGTCACACCAAATGTTGCTTGAAAACTTGTGACAGTGAGCAGAGTGTGACTGTAAACGGAGAGAAATTGAATAAATTTGCAAAGTTGGGTCTAAATTTGATGTGACTGAAACCAGGAATGTGACTAGAAGGATAGACATGTTAATCTATAGAATTCTCTAGCTTTGTGCTAATCAGTTTAAAGGAAATTCGCACACTTTTCTGATTTCACATTCTGGTCCATTTTGACACTTTAGTGAGTTTTTCAGTTCATTGACCAAATACTGTTGTGTTTATTTTCAAGGTCATTACAAGAAAAGGTCTTTGCAAACCAATCAACAACAAAAATGGTTAAAGATTGATAAATACCAGGTATTTTGTCTTTGAAATAGTTGTAATACTGTGAGACATATGTTAAAATGCTGAGTTTGTCAGGAACTTCCATTTGAACCATGTCTTCAACATCTAGTAATGCAGGAATACCAAGTTCATCTTCAGCCACTGTAAAAGCCTTAAAAGAAGCCATGTGTACACAGATTATCAACAATAAAGAAAAAACAGGAGAAAAGAGTTAATATTATTTTTTGGGTAATTTCATTGACCACATATGTCGACCCAAAGCTGTTGAAGGCCAGTTCAAATTGTCTACAAAGCTAATTTTCATACTTGAGCAGTGACTGTTACAACATGTGGCAATTTAAATACAATAACATTTTATCTTAATGAGCAAAATAATTTTCAACATGGCCACAAAAAAAGATCAGTAAAAACTATCAATAAGAGGTTAACAGTACCATTCCCAACTCAGCTTTTAAAGAATTGGATCTATTTTAGCTGCAGCTATGGCACTATGTCCAGACACATTTCACTGGCTATTTAAATTCCCATTGGTTAGACTATACAATAGACCCTTTGTTACGGAGCCAATCGGCTAATCATCAATGTTTTCTTGCTTTCAAACATGCTGCAAAGACTATTGTTAACTCTGAATAGTTGACTGATAAGACATATGCCTTCAATGTGTGCAAGGCTTCTTCTATGATTGATTATGAAACACAAGCCAGTCTAAGTCATTAAAAGGTGTTACGTAGCAAGGTAATGTTTGCAAAAAAAATATGTCAGTTTCAAACTAAGTATTACTTTGGGGTTTTAAAACTGAATTATGATAGATCATTTGGGTACCATTAAGCTTTTGAGTCAGAAATATAAGACTTTAGCAAATTATGTTATCTATTATGAGTATTTGTTGTATGTAGGGAACATAAATGTGCACAAAGTTGGATCAGTATTCATGATAACTTTAATCTTCCAACTACAGGTCTGAGATATTTTCTAGAGATGCTTTGTTTGTTTAGATACATCAAGACTTGACACCTGCTACTGGAAAAAGTGAGGATGCCTGGTTAAACGATCAATCACTTTGTAACAGTCAGACAAAACAAAGTTGTTCAGTTAATGAAGAACATCGATCTAAGAATGAACTGTCAACACAGGACATAAAACAAGGGTGATGGTCACAAATATAATAGTCTGGTTTACATCATTCTCACATCTTTTCAAAAGATCTTTCTCATATTTGTAAATAATATTTCTTAGCAATTGTGTTTGAAATTCTTGCTGTTACAAAGTTATTATATGTATATAAACTCTTTTATTGATTTATGATCAGTTCCTGAATTAAAAGCAACCTGCATATCATATTTAGAGACCTTACCCCTTCCAAAAAAACATGACTCCCTGCATTCTTAGTTAACTTTAACAATTGTAAAAAGCTGACTGTAAAGGGGGTTAAGATTATGCCTCTATCTACCACTTGCTAGCTCAAACCATGGGTATTCAACCCCCCTCCCCTTCTTGTTTTAGATGAAATAATTCTTGTTTAAGATGCAAAAAGTTTTTTCAAGTGTTGCCCTTCAGATAAAACAAGGTGAATATTAACTGCTGCTCTATAGTCACTGAGCCATGCAACTCCACAACAATCGCAACATATTTCAACATCTAAAAATCCTTAGCAATTTTATAGCATATCTGTGGACTTGAGATTTATCCATACTTGACATTTTTCACAAAATTCTTAATGGCCATGTCCATCATTTGATTTTGTCATTATCAGCTGTGTTTTTGGTATCAGGTAGTTTTGGCTTGTTTTTTGCTGGTTTTTTCTTGTTTTTTATGGTTTCTGGCTTTGGCTATTTTCATGCTGATTTCAGTTGATATTTGGTTGTATTTGGTTGGTTTTGGGCAGTTCAGTTCAAAGCAGGTTACTACATTTTAAAATTAGCAAACAGGAACTACATTTGAAGGACAGGGTAAAAGTGTATATCTGTAACATGGGCCAGTGAAATGTTTACTTTTAGAGTGTATTTCCTCAAATACATGGGGCCTGTTATTTCCCAGGGGATTGTCCCTACCTTTCTATATGGGTGGTCCATATCAATATTTGGGGTCTGAGATTTTAGAGAAAAAAATATATTTGGGGTCTGTGAATTACAGCTTAAGAAAAATTCAATATTTAGGGTTTGAGAAGTGAAAACGAAGTTGTAAAAAAATCCAAATATAAGAATGACAACCTTATCGCAAAATCATATTCAGAGATTTCCTACACCGAACAACTCTTCATTACTGCGATGGTTATCTAATTACATTAAAACTACTTAATTGTAAGTCAGCCATTATTCTTAGTTTCCAAATAAACAGGGGTGGCACTTTTTAATTTTCAGTTTTAAAACATGTTTGTTTTAAAATAAAGTGGTAGTTCAAAATATGTAACAAAATTTAGGGTCTCAAATTTTTGAATATTTAGGGTTTTTTAGAACTGTAACTCAATATTTGGGGGTCAACAAAAAGTTGCTGAAATGGACCCCCCAGTATAGAAAAGAAGTGAGTACCCCCCTCACAGTGGGCCCAGAGGTGGAAATAGGTTCAAAAAAAAATTATCAAAGCTTTCTTAAATTTATATTTTTCTTAAAGCCAAATAAATTGCCCACAAAACACAAAAAAAATTATGTCAATATCTTAATTTTTTGCAAAGTTATGATAATTTGAAGTCTGTTTAAATCGACAAAAATCTTAGGTGGGATCTTTCTGTCTGACATTTGGCAGAAACTGCCATCCATAATTAAAAATAGTAGAAATATTGTAAAAAATTCATCCAAAATACTCCTTTTTATATCTTTCTTCTAAACTATAGCTAAATATCCAAGAAAATACATTATATATGTATAATATTACATGTAGAGCAAAAATGTTATCCTTTTTGTAGGATTTTTCCTTAAAAAATCAGGGGGAAAATGGCAAAATATGCAAAAATTGGTGGTATTTTTTCATCCTAATCTGAAATTTGAGCAAAAATGGCTATTTTGGTAATAGTAAACCCTATATATTTTAAAATCTATGAAGTAAGCTCTATACAATAACACAGAATACTTGTTTACCCAAACCTAGGATTTTAAGCATTTTGATTTTAAAAAACATGACCCTCGGGTAAAAACCTTAAGAATGATAATTTTAGTTCTGTGGAAAAACCTTACGTTTCAGTACAATTCCTTTTCCACACAGCTTCCATTTACCTTTAACCTTTCTTCTGATGTTATTATTCCAATAAGTTAGTACTTTTTCTTCTAACAATGAAAATAAATTTGTTTTTGTCTCATTGAAATTGCCAAAATATAAGAATTTCATTGATATCATTATGTCTATCTATCAGATAGTTTATAATTCATCAGATAGATAGGGAGGTAGGTAGGTAGGTAGGTAGGTAGGTAGGTAGGTAGGTAGGTAGGTAGGTAGGTAGGTAGGTAGGTAGGTAGGTAGGTAGGTAGGTAGGTAGGGTAGGTAGGTAGGCAGGCAGGTAGACAGGCAGGCAGGCAGGCAGATAGTTCAGATAGTTTATTGCATTTTAACGGTTTCGATACTATTCTATGCACATGTATCTTCCTTCAAACACTGTAATGATTTCTGACTAAATTACAGTAAAAACAGTGTAATAGCTTCTGTTCTACCATATGAACTCATGTTACCATGTAATACTCATGTAATAGTTTATGTTCTATCACATGAGCACATGTTACTGTATTGTAATAGTTTCTTTTCTATCATATGAACACATGTTACTGTATTGTAATGGTTTCTGTTCTATAATATGATTTATATGCCATGGAAAATTACAATCTACCTTTCATACAGCTATAGAAATATTAGACTATGGAGGTATCAGAGAAAAGGTTTTTTGAGTTGTGTATAAGTAAAGATGATGAAGTTGTAAGAAAGAAGAGAAAGTTGCAGCAAGATGATGTAGAACCGGTATTGTTAGATTTGTTAGGTCAAGATGCTTTGACAGATAGCCAGAAAGAAATTATGAGAGCTAGTTTGCGACAGTACAGAAATTTGAAAAAGAATAGAACTAGAGTAGAGTTAGCAGCAGAAATAGGAAAGGCGTCAGATGAAGTTAGGTTCACTGGAAATAATGCTAACAAAAAACGAAAAAGTACTGATCTATCCGAATATTCTACTCCACGTAAACCATTTAGGGAACTATCTTTCAAAGCAAAAAAAGAGCGAACGAATCAACTTGTCGAAAGAATTAATGAATTTATGGATAATGAAAGAATGGATGATGTTTCTGTCACTGAATTGATGGGTTATATGATCTACAGAGAAAATGTGCAGTCAAATAAAAGTCTGTCCATGGTTGGTAAAAGGATATATGAAAATGAATTTGACGAAAAACATGATTTCACTGTTCAAGATGCAGTTGTGATGATGCACACGCTAGTTTTAACCAAAGAACAACTACGAAAAACTAGATCAATATTGCAAACAAAAGGAATCATATTTCCAACTACAAATGAAATTCGTTTGGCTCGTGAAAAGTTGCGGCCAACACAAGCGAAACTGGAAGCTACTTTAGACCAAAAAGGTGTAAAATGCGATTTTAAATCATTAGTGAAAATAACAATAGAATCGGTAATTAAGATGGTTCGATGTAAAAGAGCGTACAAACAACAGGAAGGTGACTGTTACAAATTTTATTTCAAGGATGGGGGAGATGGATCAGGTCAACATTTGATCATGCATAGCAAAGCAATGATTGACTCAAAATCACACATCTTTCAATATGGTTTGGTTCCTTTGAAGATGATTTGTTCTAGAAACAACATTGATGAAGTTATGTGGGAAAATGATGCACCTAATGCTTCAAATGCAGTACGGCCACTATATCTTATACGCGAAGAAGAAACTGATGCTGACTTGTTAAGTGAAGTAGTACCATCAACTGACAAGATAAGAAAAGAGTTGAATGAGGAAGGAATAGTGGTAAAATATGATGAAGATAAGTTAGTTGATGTTGCAGTGAATATACAGGACACCATGAAAGATTTGAAGTTCAAAAGATGTATCAGTGGATTGCAAGGCGCTGATTGCATTCTATGTACAACGAAAGTGTATGATTGGACAACACGAGCTAATGTCATAACTGGGTTTCCAATTAACAGAAATGCTGCTGATACCTGGGAACTGTACAATCAGTTAGTTAACCAAGATGGAGAAATTCCCAGGAGACCTAATGACTTTGAATTACGAAAAGGATTGACAAAAAAACCCATTACCATCTCTTCACAAGTGTCCATAACCATTACACATTCCTATATTAATTCAACCAGATGGTTCATCAAGTTATTAACAAGGTGTCACATAGATTATCAATGCTGGATAGAAAGATCAGATCCTAGAGGTGACCCTCTTAGAGCATCAGAAGAAAGAGTTTTAGCAGCCTTTAACTTGCTGGGCTTAAAACTAGAACAATGTGCCGGGCCCGGGGGTAAGGGTGGAACATCAACCACAGGTAAACAGGGTCGTCGTGTATTTTCTGAGGAGGTTGTTGAAACTATTTCATCATTACTGCCAGATAAATATAAACAGAATGTTCTTCTCCTGCACAAACAATTGAGTGCTGTCATGCGGATCATATCGTCACAGCGAAAGGTAGATGTTGATTTATTTGAGCAACTATGCATGGATATCTCGCTGAATATTGTTGATAACTTTCCATGGGTTCGTCTAAACCACACATTACATGGCACAATTCAACATTCTACTGAATTAATTAAGTTAAATAGTGGATACGGATTAGGAGCATATTCAGAGGAAGGCCTGGAAGCAAACAACAAGGATATTCGCAATTTTCTTCTCACCCACAGTCGGAAAACATCGCCAATAGAGCAACTCTTTGATGTCATGCATAGGTTGTTAGAGAGATCAGACCCCCTTATCAATGATCGAGTTCGAAATGATACAAACAAAAAGTTATGCAGTGTTTGTGGTTCTAAAGATCATACAATTAGGTCACATGGCCAAAATACTGGACTACCCAAACATGAATATGACACTTATGTTGAATGTTTTCTTGAATAGCATTTATTTAGGCTTTGCCTTAATAATACCTTTCTAATGAGCCCTCAATGATTTCCCTGTGATGATTATTAGTCGAGATATATCGAAAAATGTAATTTTGGTCTAATGTGCCCAAATAAGGAAATTTGGGGCCAGGACCCCAAAATTACAAAATATACAGCGCATAGTAGTTTCATGTAATTTGCCTTAATAATACCTTCCTAATGAGCCCCCAATGATTTCCCTGTGATGATTATTAGTCGAGATATATCGAAAAATGTAATTTTGGTCTAATGTGCCCAAATAAGGAAATTTGGGGCCAGGACCCCAAAATTACAAAATATACAGCGCATAGTAGTTTCATGTAATTTGCCTTAATAATACCTTCCTAATGAGCCCTCAATGATTTCCCTGTGATGATTATTAGTCGAGATATATCGAAAAATGTTATTTTGGCCGAATGTGCCCAAATAAGGAAATTTGGGGCCAGGACCCCAAAATTACAAAATATACAGCGCATAGTAGTTTCATGTAATTTGCCTTAATAATACCTTCCTAATGAGCCCCCAATGATTTCCCTGTGATGATTATTAGTCGAGATATATCGAAAAATGTGTTTTTGGCCTAATGTGCCCAAATAAGGAAATTTGGGGCCAGGACCCCAAGATTACAAAATATACAGCGCATAGTAGTTTCATGTAATTTGCCTTAATAATACCTTCCTAATGAGCCCCCAATGATTTCCCTGTGATGATTATTAGTCGAGATATATTGAAAAATGTTATTTTGGCCTAATGTGCCCAAATAAGGAAATTTGGGGCCAGGACCCCAAAATTACAAAAAATAAAACGCTTACTAATTTCAAATTGTTTCTCTTGCCTAAACGCTTCTAACGAGGTACCATTCACTTTCTAGAAAAAAGTATTTCTTGACTTATGACCCTATTTCCAAAAATAAGTGATCTGGGCCCACTGTGCCCCTCCCCCCTATGGGTGTTATTTTACCTTACAAGTTCTAATTGAAGTTTGTACTTTTTGCCTCTCTTTCTGTGATGTTTGAGCCTCATACAATGCCTTTGACCTGGCTGTTTGGATGTGACAAGAAATTTTTTGATAAATTTTTTGATAAATTTTTTAAATTGTAAAATGTCACTCTCCCTGCTCTTGATAAGATGTAACTCTCACCCCATATTTACCCCCCCCCCCCAATGTATAGAGGGAGGCATATCACGGAGAAGAGTTTTTGTCACAGTGAGGAAATAAGTTCCTACACAACAACACAACATTGTATCAAATTTTAAGTAACTTACCAAATAATTATTTTCTGCAATATTTTCTTTTGAAAGTTTGTCGAAATTTCTAATAACGAAAAACAAGAAAATTCAGTTCTAAACGGTTATAAGAAAAATATCCCAGTCATTTCCTGTCAGAATTAGAACATTCTTTAAATTCGCTACATGCATAAAATTAATAACCTTGAGGAAAATTCTCGCATAAAAAGATCCTATATTGAATTTTTATAACTCTCTAATTTGAATTTGAACTTTTAATTATTCGTCTACAGACTTGCAAATTGGTCATCAGGTCTATCTTCAATTCAAAATATGAAAAGCTGCGTTGAAGTCACACTAATGACTCAACTCTCAAAAAGTGGTGTCAACACATGAAACTTCAAACCGTTTTGTAAACAAAGCGCTCAACGAGTTTATTCTCATTCTATTGAAACCGTGAAATTAACGTACATTAAGTCTGGGCGATAGTGATGCAGTATCGCACAAAATGCTAGGCCATCCCTCCACGAACTCGTCATATTCCTGACCTCTACGTCTTTGTATCCGTCAGTCATCTGCTTGCACCACATAGTCAACGCTTTAGCTCCAGTTAATGCCATTTTACTTAAAATTCGGGTGTTAATTTATTTAATATTGATTTTTTTTTAGTATCAATCGTTTGTTGTCCAGTCATTGGCAATGTCCCAATTCAAATTGACGACTTCCCTTTGAAATTCTATCTAATACTCGATGTTAACTGTAACGAAATTGCCTTTGGGCGGGAACACCCCTCAAGATCTTATGCCATTATTTACATAGTCGTAGGAGACATAGGGGCTGGGAGCGCTGCAACCCCCTCTTATCAGGCAACATTTATCGCATTTCAGGCTCCGTTCGATCACTTGTCTCTCATTAAAACAATAATTTTCGGCAAAGATCCATACCAAGCCCCCTAAACGTTTTGCAACCGCTCCACCCATGACAATTTGATTAGGAGGGCGTTTTTACGGAGGGACTAGGCCAGAGCCCCCCAGAAATTTTCTCTGCCCCTTGTTTGGCCCCAAGTTTTGTCAAAAGTTTTTAAAACCTTAAGAGAAGAAGAAAAAGAAAGGAAAGAAAAAGAAGAAGAGGAAAAAGAAAAAAGAAGAAGAAAAATAAGAAGAGAAAGAAGGGAAAGAAAAAGAAGAAGAAGAAAAAGTAAAAGAAAAAGTAGAAGAGGGAAAAAAAGAAGAAGAAGAAAAATAAGAAGAGAAAGGAGGGAAAGAAAAAGAAGAAGAGGGAAAAAAAGAAGCAGAAGAAAAATAAGAAGAGAAAGAAGGGAAAGAAAAAGAAGAAGAAGAAAAAGTAAAAGAAAAAGAAGAAGAAAAAGAAAAAGAAGAAGAGGGAAACAAAGAAGCAGAAGAAAAATAATAAGAGAAAGAAGGGAAAAAAAGAAGAAGAAGAAAAAGTAAAAGAAAAAGAAGAAGAAAAAGAAAAAGAAGAAGAGGGAAAAAAAGAAGAAGGAGAGAAATAAGAAGAGAAAGAAGGGAAAGAAAAAGAAGAAGAGGGAAAAAAAGAAGAAGAAGAAAAAGTAAAAGAAAAAGAAGAAGAAAAAGAAAAAGAAGAAGAGGGAAAAAAAGAAGAAGGAGAGAAATAAGAAGAGAAAGAAGGGAAAGAAAGAGAATAAGAAGAAAATGAAAAATGAGGAGAAAAAGTGAAAGAAAAAGAAAAGAAGAAAAAGAAGGGAAAGAAGAAGAAGAAGTAATATGAGAAGAAAAGTAAAAGAAAAAGAGGAAGCAGAAAAAAAAGAAAAAACCATAAAGAGGAACAAGAGCAAGATCAAGTGCGAAAGGAAGGGGGAAACAGAGGGAAGATTTCTTGCGTGAAAGATTTAGAAAAACTCCTGTTTAGGCAAATAAGCTCCTGATCTCAGAGTGGAATTAGTGATCAACGTCAAATAATGAGACAAACAAATTGCAACCTCGTTGCATCTAGAACCTTTTAGCAAAATATTCTTTCATAGGTTGTTCCCTTCAGGAGAAAGCAATCCTGATAAAACCTCTGGCAGGTTATGGCCTTAGAACTTCTATTTCTGCAATCATTCAGCTCCAGATGATGAAATAAAAGAATATTTAGGAGGCTATATTGGGGAAAAAATTGAAATGCATTGCCTCCATGGCTGGTACGGCTTTTCCATTCTAGGGGAAAATATTTTGATTGACATTTCATTTTTTTCTAGAAGTTCGTGACCACTATGCAGGCATTTATTCTGTTGAATTTTAATATAAAACACATTCAATATAAAGAATAATGTAGCATGTAACTTATCGGTCCTTCGCTTAATTTTGCCATAAATAATTCGTATGTTGGTCCAATAATCAGAGCTCAAGAAAGTTCTGTATGCTTTCCAATTAATTCTCGTTTTAAAAGTCACTCTGATCAAATAGAATCAAGAAGTTGCAGGTGTCAGGGAAGTTTAAAATCTGAGGACTTTGAGATAAATATTTACTGTGTTATTCCCCTAAGGTAGCGTAAATTCAATGTGCTACTATTTCTTAAAGGCAATAGAAAGATACTTTAGTAGCTTAAGTCGCCTTTCAATTAAAAATTGACCAATCAGTGAGCGTAATTCCACTCATACGCTCATTGATTGGCTAATATTGATTGACAGATGGTTTAATCCATTTTGTTGCCTGTCGATTGCCTTTAATGTTATAAAATTAATGTATATACAATAGCTCCTGAGCCGTTCAGCCAAGGGTGCTTGAGCACAGGTCAAATTTTCAAAGTACTGTTTCTTGTACCTGTTTCTGTGCGTGTTTCCGAAAAAAGCTAAAGATTTCTACTGATTCGATGTTTTCATCTATTTTGCATGAATAATATCCTCTTATCCAAAGAATTTTCTTTTGTCGCGTTAATGTTTATAATCGTAGCATATTCACCGGAACGAAATTCTGGTAGAATGCAAGTGCTGACCAATTAGATTACGGATGACAAAATCATCCTCCAATGAAATCCCATTATTCCATGCTATTCCGAGCATCGGTGGGTTCGTAAATTAGAATTGTCACGAACAGAGCTAGCCAATCAACTCTTTTCTCACCGGTGCTCAGATCCAGCATTATCCAATCATTTGCTTATTCACCGGTGCTCAACGTCATCTGAGCACCGGTCAAGAAGAAATAGCCAATAAAAATTCAGGGAAATTGATGGATAGGGAACTGGCATAGGCTTTTGGGATTTGCCGCAACTCTCGTTGTTATTACGGGATGCATGAACAGAAACGTTGCTTTAATATTTATGGCAAAAGAAAAGCCTGGGCGTTGCGGAAGTTTTCGAGTTTTATTGGGAAGACAATAGCGCTGACTCGCTCACTGATTCACAGCCCTCTTCCGGAAGTGTAGCGAAGCTACGGCCTAAGACACCTATCTATCAGGTAAGTGGTAACATGCAAACTTTGTGAAAAATTGCAAGACATCAGCAAATATTACATGCATCTGGTTGAGGAATAGGGTGACGTGCTAGGTTGCGTTTTATTAGCCATGTTATTAGTTGATTTGAGTTTCGCAAACGTGAATCAATGTTGTTTGCTTTGAGGTAATTGTGATTCGCTTTGTTTTTTTACGCGAGTAATGGCATCGCAGCCCCCTTTGTGATTTTTCTAAAGGAATAATAGTTCAAAGAGCCGTGGAAATGCCTGTTAAAGTTCTTGGAACATCAACAAAATTTTAAACATAATATATAAAATGAAAGTGAAGTAAAATTCATTTTTTAAGAACACGATTCCAAGCTGCAAAAGATAGCTTTCAACCAGTGTAACGAATTTCGTAAAACATTTTCTAAATTTTCATGAAATACATTGCCTTATTTTGTACAATACTTTCCTTGCTTCCATAGCCACTCTTGTTTACCGTATTCTATCAAATTTTTGGCCCCATTAGAGAGTGGGACAGCATAGGTTTTATTCAATATATTTAAACTGATTACTATTATAAAGGTTTGCTGGTCGCTCATTGGAGAGTGGGTGCTGATTAGAGAAATTTTGCTCTAAAGGAGGGGCGTGCATTAGAGAGGGACGCTCATTGGAAAAAATACGCTACTTAACATCGCCACCGAAAATGGGCGTGGTCAATTTGTTGGGTGTGATACCTTAAACTGCACCGGTCAAAAAATTTCCTGGATCCGCCCCTGATGATGATATAAGTAGGGCATCAATGTTGTCACCTGTTCATGTTGTTGTTTCAAACAGATATACATTCTGCAACACTGAGAATGAACATAGTCACCTGTACATTTATAATGTGTTTGATAACATCTTAATAATTATGCTTAGTCTGCTCGACAGCCAGTCAAACTACTATGAGACATGATTTGTAAGCAGTAATATATGCTGTTCTCAGCTCTTTATCAGTATTGTAATAAGAGCGCTACAGCAAGAAATAAAACAAAAAGCTGATGATGCGGTGATGTTATTCTGGGTTTGTCTTTCGTCGTGGCAAACATGGAAATACACGCCAAGATTAGCAAACCAATTAGGTTGATGGCATCATTGCAGCTGATTGAAGTGACAATAACAGCTGAAATGAGCTAGAATACATCGATTAACAGGGTCCACGCCACGAATTTGAAAGTGGGTGCGGGGGTGCAAGGCTACCAAAAGTAGGGGCCCAAGGCTTTTCCCTTTTCACTGCAGCTTTAAAACTACTTGCTTTGCTACCCCACCCTCCTCTCTCCACCGGTAGCGTGGGCCCTGATCAACCTCATAACAATATTCCCGAATTCATCCCAGACTTTTCACAAAGGCTTTTGGTTAGGATAGCACTCTCAACCCTACGGTAGAAAAGACCCTCGCAATGAATGCTTCGTTGATAAAACAATTATTACAAGGTACTCAGTTAAGATTCCATGTAAAAACTGTCACAAAACATCCAACTCGTGGTTATAAATGATTCATAGAAATATTTTTCAAATGTATAATATCTAAAGTCTCCGATTTTTGCTTAAACTTTGTAGAAATATGAAAACAGTCAATCGATGTTATCTTAGTAGTTTCCTGTCACCAAGTCGAGCTGGATGTAAAATCTAGAGCTTCCGACAAGTGCTCTAAGCTCTTCATGAAAAATCGATACTATATTAAGTCCATGCTATCTTTGTAATGTTCTTAAACAAAACCACCGATATGTAATGCTAACTGAGCCTCATTTAATGTAGATATGGTTATAAAAGACTTTCATGTTCACAAATCCTTTGATCTCCGCAATTAGCCTTTCTATTTCCAATCCATTTTCACTCGGCTTTTCTAACATCTTAAGGTTCATTGTATTGGTTCTAAGAAATGGATTCATGATTAAACAGCTTTGGATTTAAACGGAAGAGAATCAGAATAATTGTTGCAAATCTGGCTATCTAACATTGTTTTAAAGATTTATGCTGATTCAAAGTATTAATGAGATTTGCAAGCATGAGCTGTGAATCCTTCCACAAACCTCCTTTCTAACTCCTATTAAGCAAGCTTAGTGCTAGCAGAGCAAAATGCCTTTTCATGTCCAGCTATCCACAGGTAATAGATCTCGAGATATATGATTACAATCAAGAAATGGAGGCAATGAATTGTTGAGTACAGTAAATGTTACGCATTTGATATGTTTTTGTTTATCTTTAAGTACAAACACCCGTTTGTGTGCTCTTGTGGTCATATTATCCTACATAAGAAATCTATTCACCATGTAGCACCTTATCAATGCAGAGCAGGCTTCCAGCTTTAGCTATTGAAATTCATGCTGATATCAAACCACTTGCACCCTTGATGTACTTAAAGATTCCGATGACCTAGCTCATAGCTAGACAATGCCCAGTGTTGTTTACTATCGTTGACAAGGCAAAAGGTTTGTGGACGTACTTTTTTACAAATTCAGGTAAATTTTTTTGCAGAGAATGAAAAGGTATATTTGGCATGATTATCTTGATCAACTTCCAATAAGAGGAAGTTCACGATGACGTAATAAGTATAGCGCGGTTTGGGGAGGTGTGTAGAGTACCTCTGTCACGTTGAAATCAACTAAATTATGGCAGGAAGGGGATAATAGGCTTTATTTAGGTAACACTCAAGAAACATTTGGAGTCACATGGCCACCAAACCACCGCATCCAGATTCTCTATATCTAAAAGAAATTTATGTTAACTTAAAAGTTACGCACGAGGATAGGAAGCAACCTCATATGACATGTATGGAAACAGTTTTCTGAATTTTATTACTTGGATAGAATCTTCATGAAATCTTTCCCACTTTGGTACTAGCCAAGTATGTGTTATAGATAAATAATGATTGAAAGATTGATCAATTCTAAGATATTATCGCTTTACGTCCTGCAGAAGCAAATAGCCCTTTTGCTCACAGTTGTTTGGTGTTAAATTGTCTGCGGTCCACCAAATGTTAATCGATTCTCTTATGCAGATATTTTTTAAGATCATACTTTTCCTTGCCAGGAAAGTATTCTCGATAGCAATTTACAATAGAATGTCAAGGATTACCCTTAAGCATAAAACTGTAGAAGATAGCACATTAAACATAGTTACCAGACTTTACATTTTCTAACACCAAATAGTTACGGGTTCTATAAAAACTAAAATCTATTTTGTTGACATCTGTGGTCTTGCTTTTTGTCGTACTTTAATTTATTTTCCTGCATGGAAATTCTTTTAAAATGTCGTATTTTGCTTTGCCAGGAAAATATTTTTGATGCGCATTGACAAGAAATGGCCCTCTGAAAGTATACATAAGCATAAAACTGCAGTTAGTAGATTAAGTTTGGTGACCAAAATTTCCTGTTTTTTACAAAAAGTAGCAATGAGGTCTCATCGTTGCCAAAATAATGTTTAACTAGGCCGCAGCGGATGCACAATAACCACGGATACAACCTGTGATGTGGCTGGGTCATCCAATTAAATAAAACTACACCTAAAGCACCGATTGGCAAATTGCTTTGCAATCTTGTAAATCTGTTCTTACCGCTTTTATTGGGAGTTGAATTTTAAAACTCTTTCTAAATTATGTTTGCTTATGATTATAATTGGAATTAAGCAAAGTTTATTTGTAAAAACGTCTTGGCTATTCGAGCTTCGAAGCGCATGCAGCTTTTAATAATTGTTATGGCATTCCTTTATTAAGGCGACACTGTAGGGAAAGATACCATTGTCTCATTAAAACAAGCAGTTCATAGCTCAGATATATTCTAACAAGGTCCTGCTGACGTCAAGATTTGCTTCTCTGCAAGCTAAATCGTCTAAATACAGACGTATTGATCATAGAAGAGGTAAGCAATCGCTCATATTATTTAAAATATAACTAAACTATACGGCAAAGTCTTTACATGACTGCCAGATAAATTGTTTAAGAAATTGGTATCAAAAGGACGCTAAGAGTTAAGTGTTGAAGATGAACCTAGAAAATATAAGAATTATTATTTGAAGAACATTCCCTAGAACAAAATCCAACTTTTGTGCTTGAGGAGCATGCTCTTTGTGTTTTCAAGGGTTTATACATGTCATTCTCAGGTTATTTTCAACAATCTTGGAAAGAGCTGTTAAGATAAGGTCTTAAAGTGCCCCCAATAGGCGGTATGAATCACGAATTCACGCAAATTTTTGAAATTTACGTTTTCACGCAAAGTTCTTTCGGCATTCACGTTCACGTTAATCCGATTTGTGTTCGAAATTTAAAACTCTGATTAAAAAGCTGAGCTGCAAATTTCCTTATGTCGGTGATTTTGCATTTTTGGGTGAATTCATCAGCATCATTTTGCGAAAAACCAATAGAGTACCGAAGTAGAAGTCATCAAAAATCTTTTGAGAATTTTTTAAATTTGACTTTATAACGGCATAACTGAAAAAACGGCATAAAATACCTCTCAGTATGCGAAATTAATAAGATATGCTCAGAATCGGGCGAGATGTGGTTAATAAAAGATTTCAAGTTTGCTAACGGATTATTGTTATTCTGGCCTGCTTCCTAAAGTTGTGAACCAAGACAAAATTTTGGAGGTTTGATTAGGAAAGAGCCTGCGCTCATGTGCCTATTCTCTCAGCCAACTCGTAACACATTTAACTGATTTGGCATATTTAAAGTTATTTCATGATGCTCTTTCAGGTTAAGGATTCGAAATTAGAAATTCTAAAATTAATTTTTTGTGACGTCATCACTTCTGTTTTCTATTTTAGGTAAATCCCCAAAAATGGATACCAGCTTCTTTTGAACTGCTCATAAGAACCTCTTTTAATCTATAAGAGTTTTTAAGGCTTGGGTGGCAAATATGACTATGTAATGCAAATACTGTAATCCTTGAAGATTCTCTAACTGGAAGTACTTCTGGTTCAAATGTAAATTATCACAAAATATCTAGATCTTTCATTAGTATTACGAATTATTTATCGGCGAAA